TCAACAGTGTTTATAAGTTCATTAAAAATTCCATGCCATCTATATTTTCAGCTGAAAGTTGGTTTCATTATTAATCAGCCATTAGCACCCAGCTCAGTAAGGTCTTAGCAGCATTTAGGCTTCTGACAAGTTTGGGTAGGTTCTAACACTGTACAGAAGCTTGTCATAGAGGAAAATAAATGTGTTAAGTCTTTTTGTAATGAGAATTTCAACTAATCAGAGCTCAGAAAGTGAAAGTAAGCTTTGTTTTTGTTTAACTAAAAATAAACATGTCATTCCCATGAAGCAGTCAGATTCTGTTGGGGTATCTGACAAGTAATAACAGAATCTGCTAGATGCTTTGCATCAAAAAAACGTGTAAGATTCAGTACAGACAAAAAATTTGCACCTGTAAAAATATAATATCACATCAAATACTAAATCATCACAAGACTGAAGCAGAGAAAGAAAAAAGCCTGAAGCTTAGCAGTACAAAGTATGAGGTTACACACTTAAGGTTCAGTAGAAATATAGGGGGGAAAATGGGATCTTTTCAAAATTTGTGGAAAGAAAGTGGGACTATTACACCTAGTGATTAAACTGTGATTGTGCAGAAGACATAAAAAAGAAATGCATTGGTCAAAGTATTTTCTTGTAGAGAAAAGAAAGCCTCAATGTTATTCAAGGTCTTGAGGAGGTTTTACCTGGAATAGTTGTTGCATTGATTCAAAGAATAAATTCCAGTGGAAACAGTGAGGAGTTGTTTGACACAACATCTGTTGTTGGATTGTCTTAAGAGATGAGACTAAATTCTGAGTTTTTTGTTGGTGAAATAACATAATCATAACATCGGGAGGAACAAAAAGTCTAAGGGGAGGATCAGATGTACAGAAGAGCTATTTTAATAGTAGTGCTAAAAAAAAGGCAACAGGTTAAGTGAATAGTAGACCAATCTGGAATAGGTCACCGACAGGGTCATTGGACAGTATTCTATTTAGTTTTAAGATAGAACTTGATGAGTTGACATAAGAGGTTGGCACAAGACTCCAGGAGTCTGACATTGCTGTATTTCTTCATGTGCCTATGAAACAGAAAGAAATTACTTCTTGTATTAAAATGAACCAACAAGGCCAAATTGCCAAAGATGTTCTAAAGAATAACCAATATATGGAAAAGGGAAGTAATCTGTTGTATGTTGATGAGATCCTTAATTTAATTAACAAAATTTTTAGCTAGTTAATGATAAAACATAGTAACATTCTCTAGCCTATAAACAATTAAAAAGATTTATAACAATTTTTTGCCTAAGCTCTTCGATACTTGTCACCAAGGAAAGAATGATCAGAGTCTTGAGTAACCTCAATTTCCTCCTCGCAAACCACTTGAAGTTTATGGTTGCTGTTCCAAAAAAAAAGATTTATGAAGTACAATTCTCGCAGCAACCTCTGTCAGCAGCAAAGGTTACTTCTAATAATTCTATTTTAGAATTTAAATTCACAGGTCTGGTTGAAATCATCATCTTCAGAAAACTAAATTCATTCCCTGGGCACTTGCGGGCAATATCACTTCTCCCACTATAGGTCACGTCTGCCTGAAGGGAAGTAAGTATTGCAAAATAAGGTTTTCAGCAGTCCAAATAGTATCTTGAACATTATTCTCATATTCCAGAATGAAAGAAAATTCACTCCTCCTTTTCCAACAATCTACTGTCAATTGCAAGAACAATTTTTGAGCTGGAGAATAATTATGGGCTGGATATTTTAGAAAACACTCGACCATTGCCATTTCTACTCAAAGACCACTTTTGCATCCTTCTTCTCTGTGATAGCGCTTGACCACAGGTCTCCGAGAAATAATTCAGCCTAGTAGAAAAAGAAAGATGCTAGGCATGAATCCCTAGGCTCCCTGACACTCGTCAGCTGTTTTCTTCTTGCCTTTCTTTTTTGGCTTTGTTGAAGGGGAGGGTTTATTTTGGGGTCTGGGGGTTGGGGTTTCTGAGGGGGAGTAGGTTGTTTGGTTTTGTGTTGAGTGTTTGGGGTTTTTATGAAGTAAGACCTTATGTTCTTTTTTGTTGTTTCATTCAAGTTCAGACTCCTATAGCTTTACAGTATCTGATAGAGACTAATTGAGGGATACAGGATAGAGAAAAAATATTCTAACATTTCAAAAGAAGTTACTTCCACTCCTCTACCCCAAATACTTAATTTCTGTCATAAAGCAATCATATAATGAAATAATTTTGATTCCTTTCACTCTTACTATTAGAGGCTTTTAGATATCTAATAGAACACAAGATATGGTATAGTTATGTTATTCTTTACCCACACGTTGATTATATCACTGTTTTGTTTCTCCCTTGTGCCAAGGCATAAAGCTAATTTTTTTTTAAAAAATTTTTGAAAATCACTGTCAGAGAGGACCACTACCCAGAGATGAGAAGTCTGGCTTTCTCACTTCCCCCTACCTCTGGTGTAGCAGTGGATGACAGCAGAGAACACATTTCTGAATATGCTCTGAACACCAGAGCATATTCATGGTAGACTGAACTGTACAAGAGGCGTGTGATTCAAGAAGACATTTTTGTGAGACAGGTTTAGTAGAAAAAAAAAAAACAACTTTCAAATATGTTGAAAGTGGAGAAAAATGTTTAAAATTGTGAAATAGGATTCAAGTACTTTTTTCTTTTCAAGCTACTCCTTGTTGAATAGACACTGTAAACGTCAAAGAGACTACTACCTTCAAAAGACAAAGAATGCCTATAAGAAAACCAATTTACTACTCCATTCTCCCTGAATTATTCAGATTTTAGCAAAAGCAAACTCTTTGGAAAAGGTCACACAATTCTTACCAGATTTTCTCAAATGGAAAGGACACTTAAAAATTATTCTTAAACTGAAAATTGAGCTCCTATATGGTCTTCCATCCAAAGGTGCACCAATTTTAGTAATACTTTCAGAACTATTGCACCTCATGCATTTCTAGACTGCACTGCAATATTCCACATCAGAAGGCAAGCTAAATCCTCTCACTGCCTGCCATAAGTCTCCCATCAATTTCAAGAATGCATTTAAAGCTTTTTTTTTGTTTTGAGACATTTTAGAGATATGTATTGCTATTTAGCGGAGTTTAAATGCAGTGATGTCAATAGCAGACTGAAATGTTATGACATGCAGTGCTTATTCTGCATTGCAGTTACTAACATACCCTACTTTATTTGGTAGTTCAACAACAGGAAAGACAACTAATCCAAATTAGGTTATTAAAAATTATATATATTCAGATTCTTGTGTAATATAACTTCCTGCCTGGAAAGCTGTTCATCATGTCAGCTTAACCTTTAATAGAAACTATTAAACATTTCTAAAAATGTATAGTTCCTAAATTTATACCTCAGAAAAAAGGAACAAATCCAGTGGTTCTTTGAACTTTATGAAAACTTTTAAATAGACCTTTAACACAAAGTTCTAAACAATTAGAGAAGTGAAAATATTTAATCAAGTCATTTAGCCATTTTCCTGCTGCAATGTCCTCCTCTGTAATGAATGTCATTCTTCCTAAACCAAAACTGTATACACATACCTCTATTCTCTAACTTGCCCCCAAATCCTTCATCTCAATTGTTCCCTCAGAATAGACAGAACCGTTTTCAAGTCCAAGTCCTACCAGTGTAACCTGACACAAGAATGAGGCAAAGACTCAGCAAACACAAATAAGTATGGAATTAAAGTGCTGATACTTGTATGCATGCAATAAACATGATTTTCTGGCAGATATATTGGGTTGATCCCTTCTTTCATGATACCATTTTCAGTTAAATAGAGTTAGTACTAAAAATTCTATAGCGTTTTATTCGCCGTGTTGTTTCTCATCCTTCTAAATGCTGTGTGAAACTACTATTCCAGAAACCAAGTATGCTAGAAGTACTAACCAAATTACAAATCACAACAGTTAGAGATGAGAAATAAGAAGTGATATTTCAAGAACATCCTGAAGTGAATTGTCCTGGGCCATTTGTCTTAAACATCCAATAAAGGAAATAAAGGAAAAAAAAAGGAACGAAAAAAATCTTAAAATTTAAAATAAAGGGATGTGTGAACAAATATTAAAAGAGGCAAATATGCAACTTATTGCATACTTGAAAGCTCTTTTTTTTTAAAAAAATCAGACTGCTTTTTAAATAGCTCAGTGTTACAGCTTACCTAAGAATACACACAGTAAAACAACATCACAAATAAGGCACAAAGGACAGCATCAGAGGGAGAGCAGGGAATAACCACCAGCTGACTACAAGTGTTCTGCAAGATGCTTGTTACAAACGAACTCTTTGAAAGGACAAGTAGGACAATATCAATTGTAGAGGTAAATTAATATTGTATCTTCATAGAACAAGTACTGTGTCCATTTCTGTCACCTGTATTTCAAGCTCTTTATAATTGCTAGGAGGTTTAAAAGCAAAACAAAACAAGCACACACATAAAAATTATTTGAGGTCCAAGAGGTAGATTGAGCTAGTTTTCTGTAAAGGATCAGCATATTTAGTTCAAGAGAAAAATCAGTGAATTCCCCTAATTAAATCTACAGATAAAGAATGATTTCTAGCTGTAGATAATCCTTTAACTCAAGCAGAAGTATAAAGATGAGCTAGTGTCTGGGAGCTGAAGTAAAGTCAGATTAGGTATAAAGGTAAGTTCACAACAGTATTTTTAGATACATGAATATATACTGTATCACCTGTAGTTTTTGAGATAAAAACTTTGTAAAAAGCAGTACAATAGAATATTCACACAGCATCCGTTCGGTTTAGAAATTACTATTCTATTAACTTGCATTATAGAAGCTAAGAGAACAACAAATTAATTATTCTGACAAAAAAATTCAGACAACTAATATGGGCTTTTAGGTGTCACTATTTATACAAATAGAAGTATTTTTTGCAAATGTACATAGTGCCCCACTTTGAGATATTTTTAAAACAGTTACTGTAATTTAAAGGGAATAAATAAATCCAATAGCAAAGAATTTTTTAGAAATAATTTTCTTTAATTTGTCTTTAAGACAAGAATCACATTTTTCAACATTTAAGAGGTGTTGTAAGCTAAATAATACAGACTACATATAAATATTTATTTAAAAATTAAGATGTTAGTAAGTGCCTAGCTACTACTCAACAAGTAAAAGAAGATAAAATACTTTTAAATGCTTATTTTTTTAAAAAATAAAAATATACTACATTGATTAAGATATATACACGAGAAGTTACCTTGGTAAATCAGCAAGAACAAATTGAATGAGACTTTCAAAATGCATATCTTTATATGAAATATAAAGCAATGAAATATATGAAGAGGAACAAGATTAGGAATTTATGAGAAGGGGAAGAGGAATTAAATGTAAGGAGTTGCATGCCTTACAAATTTAGAGTCTTTTTAAATTTCTTTTGCTTTGGGCACTTCCTGGAGGAGCATCTTTTTTGTTCTTCCGTTTTGCAGATAAACTGTTACATTCTTTTGAGCCATGGAATGCATGCAGACATAAAATACAGAACTCGAATGCACATGCCTCTCTGCTACACAGTCCCCGATTCTTTACCAGTTGATATTTAGCAGGATATTGACATCTTGGACAGGGTTTTAGAGCTTCGTCAGTGAACAGAGTTTTAGCAACCTGTAGCAAGAGGAGGGAGAAAAGAGCTACTTAGTTCTTGTAAATGAAAACTTCCTGAAAACTAAAAGCAAAGCATTTCTTAGATACCTACTTTCAGGTATTCTTCCTGTCTACTAGCTGAGTAACTAGTGTTACTGGGTGTAATTTCAGTGTATGAAGGTGGTGTTTGTAGTACAGGAGTTCTGGCTTGAGCTTGAACAGGCCTTAGAGCAGATCTATTGAGAATATTAAGCCTTGTGGCAGCATCTTCAGCCTTCAATAAATATTCCTGTTAGTTTATAATTATAAAGAAAAGGAAAAAAAAAAGAAAAAAGGGAGAAAATTAGGGGTTTATTTCATTTGGTATTTTCAGCTGGATTTCGCTTGTTTGGGTTTTTTTCCCCTCTGCAACAACACATGAGAAACGGAAATTATGTATAGCGCAAATATTTCCCATTAAATGTTTATATTTAGTGAGGAATAAAGAGACAGGAATCATTAAAAGCAGAGTAAAAAGCCAACTGTCTTTTAGCACACTCTACTGGTCCTCATGTTTCTGAATTAGGACACATCTCAATAGCAAGTAAGGAAATAGCAAACACAGTTTTTGTCACATTTAAAGCAAGGTTCCACTGACGTGTGAGTGTATCATGTGGGGGATCTGAAAAAAATATACTGCAATTAGTATGCTTACTCTTCTAGATACCCCTTAAACTTCTATATGTCCTTCTGACGTTCACAAATGCACTGTGATGCTTAGCCACAAGCAGTCCTGAAAATAATGCGGAAGTATTCTAGAGTGGGTCCTACAGCGTTGCAGACTAGAGTGAAATGCAAAATAAGGAACAGCATGGAACAATGGTATGAACAGGTTTTAAAAATATAAAGGCCAAATCAGTCACAGGATTCTCAAGAAAGGGCCAGAGGGGGAAACAAATAGTCTTACATTGTTGAAAAACTAGTAGTCAAACCGCAAACAGCTAAAAAGCAGTAAGAGCCATTACATTCTCCTGTTAGAGTCCTTCACATACTCATGTTGGAATTGTCTCTATCAGTTCCCTTTCTGTAACTTTACAAGATGTTTCCTCTTTCCTTTGACCTGCCTTCTTTCATGCTTAAAAAAAAAAAAAATCACTTTTGAGAACCACCTTACCCCAGCTTCTTCTTTCTGCTGTTTTATGTACAACTTTCTCCTCTTATCTGCCCTTTTATCTTGTACAACAATTTCACGCCAGTTTTTGCTTACTTTCCAAATGCTGGAACAAATTAATAAAAAAAATTATTCACTTTCACATTTTTCCAAGTAGTGCAGAAGTCATGATAGTAAGACTACCTGGTAAATATCTTTGCAGTTTCATATACTTTGGTAATTTTACAGACTACTGCAATATACTAGTTCATGATATTGTTTTGAGACACAGATCTCATATTGTCATGCACCATTCTATAGAATAGCAGAAGAGTCTAAAGAACGATTGCAATATAAATAACAGAGCATAGCTTTGACTTAGAAAATTAAATCAGTTTCTTCTCTCCACTTACCAAGCCACTTACCAAGATTGTTTCTAAAGTCACGTTTTTGTGTTAAATGTTCTAAAAAGATTCATGCCCTTACACTTCCACCCATTCCCTTTGTAACTAACAACACGTGACACTCTTGATTTCTTTGAAATGTGACAATTTCTATTGATTATAAATTAATCTAGAAGATTTCTCATGAATCAAAATTCTTGGAGCATTTTTGTGCTTGAAAATAACTAAGGAAATAAAATGCACAAGAAAAAATATAGAGAACGTGTTTTGAGTACTGTGCACTATTGGGGAGCTTGTAATGAGAATAAATTACTTTCTAGGCTTAAAGGAACTTTTAATATATTTCAAAGTTTACAAGTACTGTGATTTAGTTTTAAGTTTATTAATTTTTATGTTTGTTTTGCTTTTTTAATTTCCCTTCATACTTTTAGAACTACACAGAAAGACCTACTTGATCAATGGTGACAAAAATTTTTATTTCCTCAAAACCAAATGAATTATATTGACAACACCTGGTATTCTAGAAGTTATTCTAATTCATTTGCAGGAGCACATATTTTTGCCTTTGTGTGTGGGTGGGTGGGTGGGTGTGAAGCCATAGTACTTACCTGCATAGACTTTCCACTGTCAAAGCATCTAAAACTATAGCAAGAACATGTTTTAAATTTCTGTCTTTTAATTCTGTTAAAATATCTAATTTTTCAAGGCCCATTTTCTTGCCAATAAGTCCGGGAAGGACATGATCTAATGCAAATATTTCTGTTCCATCAATATTCTCTGATATTTGCTTTTGGTCCGATCTTTGTCTTTGCAAGCAAATTTCATGAACTATTTTCAGAGCTGGAGTTCTTGAGAGATCTCCATGACTTACAACCAGGTCTCCATTAGGTTGTTCTTTTAGAACTAATTCATGATCTTCCCTGACAAAATTTCTTTCTTCTGTTAATATATGCATTGAAGTAGGACTGCCATGATTATCTTCTGTCTCTGACTGTGAACCCTGTTCCTGAAGAGTGGATAACCTTCTAACTCGTTCAAGTTTTCTTGTCTTTCTTTTATTATCTAGAATTTTGGAATCTTCTCTGTGCTTTTGGAAGAGCTCTTGGAAAGATCCCTCATGATCAGACAGTGAGTCTCCTGATTTGTCCAAAGGAAGTGAATTATATCCACTATCCTCAGGTGTTGAAAGATCTGGGTAATTTACCACCTTAACAGGGGAAGAGTTAATATCACATAGTCCAAAATTCAAGTTCTCTACAGGACTGTTGATAGAAGTCAGGAATTTACTCTCATTGGCCTCGTTGTAAGTAAGAGTCCTAAGCACCCCATCACCAACTCTCATAAGAACACTTCCATTGAATTCATTAGCATTACTAACAATTACATCCTTACACTGAATTGGAGATAAACTTTCCGATTCTAGCAATAAGGGGTCCTTACACTGGGACTCATCTACTGTAGAAGTCCTTTGCTGTGAAAAGGAAATTCTCAGTTTTGGAAAACGAGGATTAGAGCCCTCAGGTTTTGAAGTGCTAGTTGTCAGATTTTTGTAACTTTTATCTTTTGAAGAATCTGCAGTAGTTTTTGGAAGTTTTTCTTCAGAGTTCAAAACACAAGAGAATTTTTTTTTCCTGATGCTTCCTGAAGAACTAGCTTGCCTTTCACAGCTTTCTACAGTGGTGCCAGCTTCAACAGCCTTGGGTAAAAGCAGTCTCCTGCGTAGCGAAGAGCTTTTTCTACTGGATTTAGGACTTTCAAAAACATCTGCACTTCCAGTTGCTTCTCTTTCTTCTGATATTGAGATAGAATTCAGTTCTTTTTCGATAGATGATGACACGGGAATGAAGGCATTTGGATGAATGTGCTCAGAATGCCCTTGTAGCAATGAAATACTTGTTACACTTGGTGCTTCTTTATGTTCTGCATCAAGATCTTTTACTGACTCGTTGTATCTGCTGTCCAGAAATGCTGAAGTGCAACATATGTCTTTAAAATTTGAGTATTTAAAATTGCTGCTGGGAGATGTTAATCTATTTCTTTTAAGAATATTGAACTTCATTGAATGACTGTCTGACATCTTCTGCTTGACACTTCGGCTTTGTAAAAGAAGATACCAGTGTTGTTCCTGAAACAAACGACAAAGTAGTCACCAAAACATCCTCAGATTCATGAGAAAGCCCTGTGTAAGTCTATCAAGATAGCAGCCATGACAAAAGTATTTTCATTAGTCTTAGTAGAAACTGCTTACAAATGTACACAAATATAAATTACTATCAAGTAGACGGTTAGAACGAGTGATTAAAATGCATAGTATACTATTAGGCAAATTCAAAGTTACATCCAGTTAGCTAATTGATGTGCCAGTCCTCATCTGTGGAAAAACACTTCAAATAAGCAACACAGCAACTAGAGGCTCGTTGGTGCTGAAATTTGCAACAAAATCCTCTAGCATTCCAGTAGGGCCAAGATTTTTATTAGGACAGGGTTATTGGTTCATCTAACACTAACAGTTCAGTCCTCAAGAATGAGCAGAAGCTCTGATGATAGGTGAGTTTAGACAAAAGGCATTTTCTCCTTAAGTAAAATAAGAGGATTAATCATGAAGTCACAAGTCTACAAGTCTCCCTATTATTCAGATCTCTACAGTTCCCTCAAGGGAATAAATTTCAAAGTGAAAAGTGCATTTTTGTCTTCCTCAGCATTTAAATGTTATTTTGTAAAGAAGGTCTCTGCTTTTGCTCAGCTCTGTGGGTAAGCAGTGTTCTGAAGCTTTACACTTTAAACAAACTAATGGACTGACTGTTCACACACTCACCAGGTACAGATCATTTAAGAGTTTTTATGTATTTTCTTAGAAAAGTTAGAAGTGGCTGATGCACACATTAGCCATGGAAAAGATGCATGGAAACAGGCTTACTTTTTGCAATTCATAGGTGGCAGAGTTTCTCCACCATAACCACAGTAAGATTGGGTCATTTCTTTCTGCGCACAAGACACGACAATTGTATAAAAGATGTTATGAGTAATGGCAGAAGGAGGGCTGTTCTCACAGACACCAAAGTAATTCACCTCAGCACTCCAAGACTCTCAGAGTTGGAATCAGCACCTTTCACTGGCCTCTATAACTGATATTTTGGAACATAAAGCCTGGAAATAGCAAGTGGACTTTCAAAACAGACAAAAATAGGAATCTTTAAATTTGGCTTAAACACCAAATACTAAGATATTGCTATTATCCCAACAGTCCTGACTTAGTTAAGCCCTAAGCCACCAAATACAAGCAGTGGGAACCCAGACTGCATGAGACAGGTGAGGGGGGGACTACTCTTTGATGACCTTGAACCATTAGCATTTTATACCCATGCTGAAGGCACTTTTTTAGACCATTGCCATATAGAAAATGCTTTGTTTTGTTTTCTACTGTAAGGAGACAGCAATATATAGAAGTTCAAAAGGAACAAGGTGTTAAACAGCAGACAGTAACACCTTAGCATGAAGACCTACACAATCTTGCTAATATCAGAATGAAAACAAACAGGTTTAAAACAAACAAACAAAAATCCAGACCAACATAACCGAGAAAAATTCTTCCAGGAAAGAAGGGTATGTGAAAATAATTTCACGACAACAACAAGGTCTGAAGTCTGGCTTCCTTCTTTTCCTTCCGTCGTTTACCTCTACAAGTGCCTTATTTTCACATTTGTTTTCATCAGTGTTTTTTCCTCATTCTCTGTTTGACTCAGTGAAATAAATGACAGCACAAACAGGAAACACGAGGACATAGCTTTAAGCTAGTGCTTACATGAATTAGGGATAACTGCCATTGCAGGACCAACTCCAAACATCATCTAGTATTTCATCTACATCACTTCTCAATGTTTTAGTAGACCCGTCACTGGTGATGTCCCTCAAGGGTCGATACCTGACCCAGTATTGTTCAACTTATTCATCAATGACTTGGATAAAGGGCAGATGCCTCCTCAGCAAGTCTGCTGGCAACACAAAGTTTGGAGGAGTGGCTGACACCCCAGAGGGCTGTGCAGCCCTTCAGAGGGAGCTCAACAGGTTGGAGAGATGGGCACAGAAGATCCTTCTGAAGTTCAACAAAGGCAAGTGCAGGGTCCTGCACCTGGGGAGGAATAACCCCCTTCACCAGTACAGGCTGGGCTGATCTGCTGGAAAGCAGCTCTGCAGAGAAGAACCTGGGGGTCCTGGTGGACAACAAGTTGTCCATGAGCCAGCACAGTGTCCTTGTGGCCAAGAAGGCCAAGGGTATCCTGGGGTGCATTAGGAAGAGCATTACCAGCACGTCGAAGGAGGTGATCCTGTCCCTCTAATCAGCCTTGGCGAGGCCTCACCTGGAGCGCTGTGGCCAGTTCTAAACTTTCCAGTTCAAGAAAGACAAGGAAATACTGGAGAGAGTCAAGAGGAGCACTATGGACATGATGAGAGAACTGAAGGACCTCAGTTAAAAGGATGAGGGAGCTGGGCCTGTTGGGCCTGGAGAAGGGAAGACTGAGAGGACCTTATCAATGTCAGTAAGTATCTGCAGGGAGAGTGTCAGGAGGATGGAGCCAGGCTCTTCCCAGTGGTGCCAAGCAACATGTCTCTTCTCCCAGGCAACCAGCAATAGGACAAGAGGGCACGATCTTAAGCTGTGCCAGGGGAGGTTTAGGTTGGATATTAGGAAGAAATTTTTTGCGGAGAGAGTAATCAGACATTGAAACAGGTTGCCCAGGGAGGTGGTACATTCACCATCCCTGGAGGTTTTTAAGATGAGACCGGATGTGGCACTTAGTGCCATGGTCTAGTAACCACGGCAGTGTTGGATCAAGGGTTGGACTTCATGATTTCTCAGGTCTTTTCCAACCCAGTTGATTCTATGATTCCAAGAGGCCACGAGCAGGAACCGGAACACAGGAGGTCCCACGTGAACATGAGGAAAAGCTTCTTTACTGTGAGGATGACAGAGCACTGGAACAGGCTGCCTAGAGAGGTTGTGGACTCTCCTTCGCTGGAGAGATTCAAAAGCTGCCTGAACACAGTTCTGAGTAATGTGCTCGGGGGGGGCCCCTGCTTGAGCAGGGAGGTTGGACTAGATGCTCTCCAGTGGTTCCTTCCACTTACCCATTCCATGATTCTATGATTTTAGGCAATAGGCTGAAAATGCTGTGTCATGAACTAGAAAATAACTTTTTCCTATATTTTTAAAGGTATGAAGTCCCTGGGCACTGCACTGCTGCATTTCAGTGAATTAGTCATGCTATGAGCAAAGGACCACACCAACACAGCTCTTCCTTTTGTAAGAGGAGGAAGATCAGTAAGAAACCTGCTGTAACAATATGCTGTTGTCTTTGTGTAATTTGCAAAAAGAATTAGAGGCTTCATTTTTATCCTGAACTTTGTGAACTGCAGTTAGTTAGCAAATGTTGCCAGTAGATATTCCTTCCAAAAATGTTGATGGACAGAGGTTTAAAACTGACTGCTACTTAAAGACAGCTGTTCAAAATCTCAGTACTGGAAAAAAAAGACATCCCCCCCAGAGAAATCCCATACCAAACCCAAACAAATAATACGAAATCACATACCCACACTTACCTTTAAAAATATTAATATTTTCCTTAAACACAGTCACAGTCAAACTAATCACACATCTAACAAAAGTCCACAGGCTTCCAGACTTTTAGAAAATTAATTTTCAGGCAGCAGGCTGAAGAAACAACAAGAGGAAAAACTCATGCTTGCAGCTTCATTCTCAGGCATTCTATAGGAGAAATTATCTAATAACTCTGAACAACTGAGGGGAGAAAAAAATTAAAATATTACAGTATAAAATAATTTAATCAAACTTGTGTTTCAAGTAACATAAAAATCACAGCAAAACAAGGTTTTTGCAGCTGTAAGGGAGATCAAAATAGTGGAGTTAAAGGAATGCTGTTAACTCAAGCAGAAGCCAAAAATATGCTGTGCATAGTGCAACGTCCGGCAGGGGGAGCCTGTGAGATCATTGCATTGATTTTATCGACATTACAAAATATTATAGGATAATATAAATAAAATTGTCACTTCAGTACAGACACCGAATGAACAATGTCCAGCAAACTGCTTAATTTCACCTCTTTTCTACACTTCATTCTATACTTCTTCATTCATTCATACTATTTTATACTTCATTTTACTTCTTTACCTTCTTCTCTTGTGTGACCCCACCTGGAGTACTGCGTTCAGCCCTGGGGCCCCCAAAATATGGAGGACATGGACATGTTGGAGCGAATCTGGAGTAGGATGTGAAAATGATCAGAGGGATGAAGTACCTTTGCTGTGAAAGCTGGCTGAGAGTGTTGGAGTTGTTCAGCCCAGAGAAGTGAAGGCTCCAGGTAAACCTTGTTGTGGCCTTCTGGTACCTAATGGGGGCCTGCAAGAAAGCTGGAGGGGGACTTTTTAGAAGGGCATTTAGTGATAAGACAAGGGGTAATGGCTTTAAACTGAAAGAAGGCGGGTTTAGGTTAGACATTAGGAAGAAATTCTCCTTATGAGGGCAATGGGACACTGGCACAGGTTGCCCAGAGAAGTTGTGGATGCTCCATCCCTGGCAGCATTCAAGGGCAGCCTGGATGGGGTTCTGAGCAACCTGGTCTAGGGGAAGGTGTCCCTGCCCATGGAAGGGGTTTGGAGCTAGGTGATCTTTAACATCCCTTCCAACCTGAATCATTCTATGATTTACTGTAAATCCCAGTATACAGCTCAAGCTAGTATATGCATTAATTTTTTTTTCCAGAATGTATTACTTGTACAAATTAAGATTTAATTTAACACAAGATATCATTTTACAAATACAGTACAAAATGGGAAGCCTTTCAGAGGTGCCAAACAGCTCTCATAATAACAAGATAATATTTATATTCATAAGAGATGCCTAATAAAACTTCTTATAACTTGACTGACTTCTATAAGCAATTCTTTTTTATTGGGAGAAAAGTTTTGTCTACTAGATTTGATACATAACATCAAGCCCTTTCGTTTGGGGATCCTGAAGTAGTTCCTGAAAATATTGTTAACCTTGTCTTAGACACCGTCAAACAGATGTGCAGGGAAGAAAAGGCTGGTTGCACAACAAGTCAGTTACAGAGCAAGTAACAAAATCCGTATCTGCTAAGTGCAGGTGCTCTATGCATTTCCCATATCTATTATTAATTTTGTAGTTCTCAAATTGATCTACAAATCAACTGCAAAATTTCTGGAAGTTTATGGGACAAAATAAACTAAGCTGACCCAAACTAAATGCTCTGCTGAAGGACGGTGTTCACATATTTAGACAAAAAATCGTTTTTAACGAGGTTAGTCTTACAAAGCACCCCAAAGAGGTAAAAATGTTGGTAAGTAGAAGGCAATGTCAACAGCGCCTCTTAGACATAAGTTCTAAGATGTTCATGATACTAATTTACATTCCCCAGTAACACACACTGAACAATTATACCTTGAACAAGATGATTTCTGACTCTGTTTATCACTGTTCACTATTGTTAACAAAACAGATAAAGACAACATTCTGGTCATACAAGAATATTTTCTCTGTTATTTAAACATACCATATCTGTAGTAAAATTGACTATCTGAAGACTCTGTTCTTGACCTCCATGAGACAACAGAGAAGTCATTGATACCTTAGAAAATATTAATACTGAAGATGACATAGCCAAGTCCTATCCAAATTATGTGGGCCACTTACCCTAATTTGTGAAGCAACTCAAGATCTTCCACAGTAAATGTGCTGTATTAGAATTGCTTGCCCCTACTGATAACCTGGAGTGCGAAAGGATGTGAAGAGAAAAGAGAGAGGTGTAAGACAAACATTACCCAGCTGAGGCACAGTTTTCGGTCCATCTATGTATGTGTGCAACGCCTAATTACCCAGGGACCAGCACCCGAGGGTCTCTCATCCACCTGGGATGCCGGACGCGAGCAAAGCAACCGCTTCACCCCCTCATCTGGGAAGTCGCTGGGCACAGGAGCAGAGCCTGGAGGCCGCCCTTCCACGGGGTGCGGCTGAGGCGGCAGCGGGGCCCCCCGAGCGGGGCTGAGGGCAGGCTGGAGGAGCGAGGCCGGTGCCGCCCTAGCAGCTCTCGCCGCCCGACCCTGGGCCCGTTGCCCCCGGCGAGGAGCCGCTTCGCCTCTCCCCACCCACACCGGCCCCTCGCGTGCGGCCGCCGCCGCTTTCCCTCGCTCGGGTTTGAACTACCCGCCCTCACCAACCGCTGCCTCCCCGCCCCCTCCGTGCTGCGGGCCCGGGGCAGGGCGGGAGCCTGAGGAGAACGGGACAGCCCCGCCTGCTCCTCCGAGACGAGAGACGGTACCCAGCGGGCTCGCCTCGCTCCTCACGCTTTATACTTTTGCCCCGCGGGCCCCGCCGCACCCAGCCCACTGTTAAAGCGCCCCTGCCGTGCTTCTCCTCAGGAGGCCGGTGTGGGTGAGGGTTTCCCGGCCCCCCCGCTTCGCTCCCTGCGAGGAGGGGGCGCCAGCGCTGAGGGGCGGCTCAGGGACGCGCGTGAATCGCGGCCGGGCAGTGGCTTTCACAGATGATGACCTTTATCTACACCACAGCCTTTAAGCTTGAGTTGTAAGGGTGCTGATTAATTCGAGTTAATTAGTACGTTCGTGCCCGACGGTCCAGGACCGAAACAATCATGGAGCGTTTCTCAAGTGCACCGCCTTCAAAGCAGTCGGGTGGGAGATGCCTCGTGACGGCGCCTGGGTTTTGCTGTGGGTTTAGTTTTTCTGTACACTAACCCTCCCACCCCCCAACATACTAAACAAACACAAACCCACTAAACCCACGAATACGTGGATGCCTATTTTTCCTGGGCTCGGTAAGGATAATGTGGAGCTAGGTAGTCTCACCTACCTGCTGGCTTCACACTGGCGGGATGGGGAATGTCAGACCCGAACGAGAGACCTACATTTAAAGAAGCACAAACTCGAGGCTTTCAAAAGAAACGCCGAAATTAAGTCATGTAATCCCTGTAGATGAGATCGGGCAAATTCGTGGACATTCCCTTTTGGCAAATCCGCTCCTACAGCCTCTCGCAGCCTCCGGACGGTGATATAAGACAGCCTGAGAAGGGCTCGAGTAAACGCGGGTTCGAAAGTTCCCGACCCAGAGCCGGCGAAAACCGACATTTTTATGTAAAGAATATCGGTTTATGTGACAAGGTAAAAATTGTGGCTAAAAAGATAAAGGCTTTTGGGGTATCTCCCCCTTCCTTTTTTAAAAGGAGAAAACATTAGAAACTTTCAGGAATGTAATAAAACTTTTTTAAAAGTGCTTTCTGTAGTATCATCTATTTCACGGGAACTGGATAAAATTGTTTCTCAAATGCTTGTATTTATTTATAAAATAAACTATCTTCTGAGTCAAACTGTCAGCTTGCTAGTGAGACACAAGAGCTGAAAGCTGCGTCTTCATTCAATGAAGCTTCAACTCACTTATGCGAGTTGGATAAAAAATATTCAAGAAACGTAACAAGTTGTAATTGCGGCATTTGATTGAATACACAAAAGCGTCACACCAGAAAACAAACAAACAATCAAAAACTGAGAACATTACTTCTAAGCAAGCAAAATGAAGTAAGATATTCTGCAACACTCGCGCTGCACTCGGCTACGCCTGCATTTTCTTCCCATCTCAAAAGTACCTGTACCCCTTGTCCCGCCCCACCTCGCCCCACAAGCCTTTCCTCTAGCTTTCCTGCCAATTTCCCAAGAGCTTTACGGGACAGTGGAGGTCTCCCACATAGTCGCAACACTTTCAGCTACTCTAAATCCAAGCGGCATCTTTAGGGCTAGAGTTTATCAGCCCGAGGGAATGGGGCTTTGCTGTTAAAGCGCTCCGCTCGAAGGGGGCGGCTTTTGTCGGAAACGGCTGAAGTAACCGAAGCTTTAACATCTGGTTAAACATTCTATTTTTCCAAGAGAACAGCTGAAGGATGCAAATAATCGAGCAATTACATGACGACTTTCTTAATATTGGCGACATTACTTTCACAGGATTAACTGAATTTTTCATGGTGGTATTTTTACTAAGTCCTTTTAAAATTATCGGTTTGACAAACGCATTTTCAAAATACAAATGAGCCTAGAGAAATAATACCATTTTTTTTTTCTTTGCTTTTTTAGGAGATGATAATTACTTAGCATGCGTTTACCAGGAAAGGTAGGGCTCAGGCTTTTTTTTCTCCTCTGCTTCAACCTTTGGTACCCACCCACACTCACAGGTCCCTGGTGGAGGAGAGGACGCAGAGAAGTCAGAATCCAGATGGATAGCTCTGCCTTTCACACACCGGTTTTTTTTGCATGTGCTTTATTCTGGCACCCTAAAAGTTCTGTTTAGCTTTATTCGTACACAGCAGTATGAAGAAGCAAGTCTAAAGTCATTACTGTGTTTTCATTACATTTAACTTAAACACAAAATTAGGAAAAACACAACTATTTATTATTCCTCAAGTTTATTTTAGATAAGATATAGGTCATGTATGAAGGTGATTTGCTGCTAGGAGAACACCAAGTAATGACGACTGTTAAAACCTCGTCCATATTAAGGCATTTGGGTGCTGAGGAAAAAAAAATAGTATTCAGTATTCAGAAATAGAAAGAACTTTCCTTAAACTGCAGAATCTTTTTATCAATGAAGTAATTTAAATTGTCATATTCACAAAACACGGTATTCGTTAAATTTTTTTCCGTGAATAAAGCAAAGATACATAATTCTTCAAAATGCCAGTCGAGGATTCAAATTTCCTACCGCTAGCGAGGTGGGGCCAATGACAGAGAGCAACTGGTGTCGTTTCAAACCTTGTCTGCACTATTTCATTTCAGTACATCGGGAATCACCTACATCGGAACTTCTTTCGTAATACGCTGAAAATACGTAGCATATATGTTTCGAGTAGGTAAGTTTGGCTTCATGGGGTATAGCATCAAAATATCAAGATGCGGGTTTCACCCACGAATCTTAGGGAAAACACTTCTGAAAATAGACCGGTCCTCGAGGTGAAGCACCTCGGCGGTTTAAAACCCCGCAGCCATATGACCAGGTCTGGCACAGGGCATTCTAGGTCTCGAGTAGGTTTGGTACAGCCAAATAAAAAAATAAAAGCACCGAGTACCTTGGGGCTGATTTTACCCAACCACGCAGCTGCCTGCTTTCTTCATGGGAAACTGACGCTGCTATTTATATGAAAGCTTGTGTCTTAAAAATTGCTACCAAATATTTTCTGCCGCCTTCCTCCCGCCAGCTGGTTAACACCCATAACTGAACATTTATTACTTTCCCAGGCTAATTAACTGTTCCACAGGGAGGTGCCGGAGCTGGCGCTGGGCGATGCCGGGCCCGCCTCTGCCGGCGCGTCATCAGCGTGCGCCGGGCAGCGGCGGGGCTGGCGGTGAGTGAGCGGGCGGGCGGGAGAGAGGGGCTGCGTCTCCTCCTGGGCTCGGGCTCGGGCTCGGGCTCCTTCCCCTTCCTCTCCCCTTCCCGTCCGACCCGGTGGTCCCTGCGCTGCTGGGCGGTGGTGGCGGGGCCGTGGCGGGCAGGGAAAGGCCAGGCCCAGCCTCGTGGGCTTCGGTCCTTCGTACGAGGCCCGGGGGGGGGTGGGGTGGGGGGGAAGGGCGGTGCGGGAGGTCTCGGTGCGGAATTGTGGCGGGATGGAAAGCCTGGGCCGGAGGGTAGGCTGCCCGGTGGGTTGTGAGAAGGGCTGTCCGTCCTTCTTCGTCGGCTCTGCGGGACGTGAAGGAACGGGTTGGTCTCTTACGGGTGCGTAAAAGACGCACTGAGAGAGGACCTTGCCACCTAAAGAGGGGGTGGCAAGAAAATAGAGCCGGGATCCTCTTGGTGATGCCAACCACTAGGACGAGAGGTAGCGGGCGAAAACTGATGCACAGAGAGTTCCACCTGAATATGAGCAAGAACTCTACTGTGCGAGGGACCATGCACTGGAACAGGTTGCCCAGAGAGGTTGTAGAGTTTCCCTCCCTGGAGATATTCAAGGACCATCTGGATGCAATCCTGTGTCACGTGCTCTAGGACCACCGCGCTTGAGCACTGTGGTCCCTTCCAGCCTTCCCCATGCCGTGATTCTGTGCGGTGCTCTCAGCACGTGGAGGATCCCGTGTCTCTGTGCGGGGTTCCAGTGTGTGTCGGTGCACTGCTGTGCCTGGTGGCAATGGCAGCCCGGTGGCATTTAGGGTTGCAGGGTACGTGAAGGACAGCTAAACCAGGCCACCTCCCTGCAAGACACACAACTTGGGTCACTGCTGACCTTAGCAGTGATGTTATTTTGCTGCACGAGCAGCACAAACTCAAGTTATTTAGCTACAACTGTGATCTTAGTTCAGCTCTGTGTTTTAGAAGAGTTGCTGTTTCCTAGTGCTAATGGGTGACTGCTTATATCTTACTATAATGTACTGACTCAAAAAGACTGTAACACATGTGGATTAAGATGCCACTATGATTATGGTATAGCATACTTGAAAGCTGTAGAGTGTAATGAATTCTTTCCAGTTCTCTTAAATGGAACGACACAGTGGGAATTTTAACAAGGTGGTCTGTCAAGTGCTGATCAGACTATTACAGAAGGAACTGTCAAGCTTATCCTTCTGTTTTCAATGCCATAATTTTCCCACTTCAGTTTATACTGAAACAAACTGTGAAGATCAGGTTAATAATCCTTGCAGTAATATTAAACAAAAGCATCCAAGAGCCATTCTCATAAGGAAGCTTCAAAACCGTTATTCACTGGGATAAAGGTTAGGAATTCTTGCCTTCTATGTCAGACAGAACAGCAGTACAGAAAATGGCAGCCTCAAAAAAATTACAAGGAAATGTTAATGTTCTGGTCTAGACTTGGATTGGGTGGGGAAAAAAAGTGTTTACTATATCTCTGGTGGTAGAGTAACTGCCTTAAAATTCATGGTTTTAAGCACCTTTACATGTTAGGATAGGATTACTTAAAGCTTGATAGAATGTTTGTGGAGTATATGTAACTATTTAGTCTGATGCTGTGAAGGAATACTTGTCTCCAAGTAAGTCTGAAAAATCAAAACCATTACAGGGCATTAAGAGGTGATTGAAGAATAGCATTGAGTTATTACTCTTGTTTGGTAATCATACACATCTGTTTTAGGATTTGAAGGGTGGAATTTCTTCTCTTCCTATTATTCTTCTACCCACAGTCTGTTCCCAGGATTTCTAATACCTTAGATCAGTGAAAAGGTAGATTAGGTTAGCTAGTGTGTCAGAGGGGAAGAAAAGATAATAAGGCTTATCTTGTTTCTGATGGCACCATTGTTACATGAGTGATGTGTAAGAAATTATTGAATTTTATGTTTCCAGCAAGGAAATTCTTTACATTGACAGGAGGAAGTAAAGAGAATACTATTTGTTGGGCGTTAGTGTTTAAAATCCTGCTTAATAGAAAAATGTGCTGTCTCTGACCTTGTCGGTTTTCTATAGCAGGTTGGTAAAGCTCTGAGAAACCTGCTGTTACTTTGCTTTTGAGAAGTTGAACTAGATGACTTTATGAAGTCTGTTTCAACCTGAATTATCCCATGTCCTCTGTATCAAATACAAACTATATTTGTTTGTATTTACTTTTAAGGAAGAGTTTTCATCTTCTGTTAGCTTTAAATTGAGATATTGAAATGATTGTGTATATCTTGGGGAAAAAAATCCCAAACACTAAAACCCAAACTGATGTGCATATTGTGTGTTTTTTGTTTAGAACATGGATTCACAGAAGGATGTTCAGCCTCCAAAGCAGCAGCCAATGATTTACATTTGTGGAGGTAAAGAAAAGACATTAGTGATTTATTTTTTTTTATTACATGTTACTGGAGATTTAGTGTTTTAATAATGAAGCCATTATAGTGAAGAGTACGTGAATGCAAATAATTGCAGTGTGCATCCCGATGATCTTTAAAGCTTTACACGTTGATGGTAACGTGTATGGGTTACCACATGGATATGGATATGGAAGTAATTTCCTTAGATCTTGTGTTGCTGAGTGGAGCTCCTCCATCTCCAGAGTATGCTTTCTCTAAGTGTCCGCTTGTGGTGCAAATAGTGGACCTTCCATTCAGTGCATCTCAGTCTTTTGCTGAAAATGCTATATGGGCACTCAGCTTTTACTGAAATACAGCAGTCAAATTCTCTCTTACCGATAGATAGGTCAACAACTTAAAAATTGGTGATTTTGCATCAGCACTTCAGGAATCTCTGAAATATTTTGTCTTTCAAGAAAATAAACTGTGGGCTTTTGGAGGGCTGAGCTGAAATTTTTGTTAGTAGGCAGTCTAGTATCAAGAGTGGAATGTGTTCTGTGCAGTAATATTTTGGTCATTTTTAGCAAGATTCTCTTTGACCTTAATTTAAGTTAAACTCGCTTTTTCTTTTTTTTCTCAGTATCTTGGTATCATTCAGCTCTTGATACAGATTCATTACAATTACTATGTTTACCACAAATAGAAATTTGATTATTTTGACTTTTAAAAGTTATCTGTGCATTAACAATGCTGGTTTTGTTTGCCCACTGTCTTTGTCTTCCTCTATAACATTAGAATGTCATACAGAAAATGAAATAAAGGCAAGAGATCCTATCAGATGCAGAGAATGTGGCTACAGAATAATGTACAAGAAAAGGACAAAAAGACGTATCCTTTTACAAGTGCACTTGAAAGCATTTGGGAAGCTGTGGGTGGAGATAAGGTATGTAAGGGAAACAGAAAGGAAGATTTGAGTAGTTATGTAACAATCCTTCAAGGCAAAAAATCAATGCAGGAGAGCAAACTACTATGAGGCAATCTCTGCAGAGTGATTTGGCACCTTCCTTTCTTTTCTAGCACTTTCCCTCTTTTTTTCCATTTTCTATGCAAGATATAATAAGTTATGATAGTCTGCTGGGTGATGTACTGTGAGTTGTTGATATTATTCAGCTTTTTATTAAAGATAGCTTTTGAAATACTTTTATGTAGTTGGTTGTGACCTTAGATTTAGACAGTCTCTCTCTTTTATTCCTCTCCCCATCTTTTTTTTTCAACCACGACACTTTTTTTTGTCCTTAACTGAGCTACTCCAGTGGTGGTTTTTGATGCCCGATGATATCTGCTGAAGATACAGTGACTTCATGATGCAGTTTAATCTTTCTGATAACTTTTCTCTGTAAAACTCTTTGTGTACAAATGCACACACTTATTTGTGTTTTAAGAGATTATTAAAGTTTACTGTAATACTAAATTTTGTCTATACCATCTTCCAGCAATAGATTTCTAAAGCTGTTGTTTAAATTGTCAGAGTATGCAGTATTTTTTAAGTTCAGTCGTTTTGTATTCTTTTTGACTTAACTGTGTTTTCATTACTGTCATCTAAACTTTATTTGCATTTTTACTTTGTTAAATGTTCTTTGGACTTCTGTGAATTGCATAAAATAACTGTGGTTTGAATAAATTCCACTGAAAATAAATAGAGGGCTGCACAAGGCTAGGTCTGAAATACAGATCTGGATTTCTTGAGAAAATCTCGAGGGACTTGAGAGTACCCAGTTGTGGATATGTTAAAAGTATGGATGTCTTGTGCGGAAGTGTCAAAAAAAATCATCTCTTGGGAAAGAAGAGAGAGAGGGAGGCAAGGTAAACATTCAGAAGCAATGTGGAAACAGAAATTACGGAAGTGCTGTTTGACTTATACTCAAGGAAAGAATTAGTACTCAAGGAAAAAAAAAAGTGTTACAAAGATAAATTGAGTAGCATCCCAAAACTAAAATAGCATCTTGTTTTGCTTTTCATTTGACTTCTCAGGAGTCTGTAAAAGAAGGATCAAAGTGGTGATTTTGTTTTGAGAAGCCAAAACTTTTTGCATCTGGCTGTTTGGAATGTGTGTTATGTAATAGTACTAAATTCTGCTACAAAATACTGCTGAACTGTGTGTGCTTGATCTCAATTTGGATGGTGCTAATGATGCTGTTACGTTGAGATACTGTGTTTAACTGATCACTGTAATAAGGTATCTTTGTTAAGGTGTGCAGGACTGTACTGGCTCATAAATGAGCTGCAGTGGCTTGTTATAGGGGATAAAGAAAAGCAGTTGGAGATGATGCTTTGGAGCTGTTTGGTTAAGAGTTTCTTAGTTAACTGATCTTTGCTGTTAAGAGCAGGTTTTTCCGGGAAACCAGATACACTCGGGTATACATGATAACCTTTTTGCTGCACCAGCCTGGCCTGCACAGTGTGCACCTTATGCCTGCATAACAGACATGAGGGTCGCTACTGCCATGGCTGCTCAGAAGGGTGAGGAGGAGAGGGCAGGAGCAGTGCTGTCGAAGGTTTGGCAGGATTCAGGGGCGGGTTTGGCCGTACTGCGGGCACGGTGGGTACTTCTTTCTGCCAGACGTGGAGAAGAGCATCCTCTGCCATCGGGGACCTGCTGTAGGGAGCAGCGCCGGGAACTGCAGGGCTGACGGGCAGCACTGGTGTGGGCACGGGGGGACGCCGGCATTGGAAGGGGACTGCCTGAGTAAAAATACTACACTGGAAACAGGAAAGTGACGTTTATTAAACCTTCACGCCCAGGTGCTGTATTTCTGCCCCCCCGCAGCAGGTGGGGGGGCCGCCGCCGTTCCCCTCAGCCCTGACCGCAGCCGCGCCTGCGCGGCGGGGAGCGAGGGTCGGGCGGCCCCCGGCTGAAGCGAGGGACGGGCAGCGTCCGTGTCCCGGAGGCGGCACCGGGCAGGTGGGTGCTGGAGTCGGGCAGGTGACGCCGATGTCGCCGCTGGAGTTCGGCGGGGCTCTGTGGGAGCCTCGCCGGGGTGTCCCTGGGGAGGACAGCGCCGTGTCCGCGCCGCCATGTTGTACATAGCAGCAGTTGCTAAGCTCGGGCTGGCGGCGCTGCCCGGGCCCCGGCGGTGGGTGCCGCTCCCAAGGTAAAGTCCTGACCCCGGGGGAAGGGGGATGTGTGGAAGGTGTGTTGGAGGGGGCCGTGCCGGGCTGTGGCTGTGCCCCCGAGCAGCCGCGGTGTCCGTGTCAGCGCCGTGCCCTGGGCAGCTCCCTCGCCTCCGTGGGAATACTGAAGCGGGAGAAAACGCTGATTTGTGATGAGCTCTTTACTCCTGTTTAATTATTTACTGCATTCGCACGGCTTTCCAGGCATGTTGTTCCTTTTTCAGTACTGAAACTGTAAAGTCTTGGGGCAGAATCTCTATTATGGTCACCTAATTACGACCAGTTATTATTTAAGTGATACTGTATTGTAAACATTTTTTGTACAACTATAAATTAACAGAGATAGTTATGCTAGACATTGGAACACAGTTATTTTAACTGGGTTTATATTTGCACATAGTTGTTATCAGACGTTAGCTAGCTTCCCTTATTGTACTTGTTAAAAATAACTTATCACTTTATGCACTATATAAATGGGGAAAGAGTGAAGAATTTCAGCTTGGGATCAAAACAGAAAAAGATGCAGATGAACAGATCAAAGGAACGGGGAGACAGAAGTGTCCCATTTGAACCCCTCACTTCATCAGTTACCTACTTACTGGAAAAGGCTTATATTACTACTGTAATATAATCAGAGAGCCAGAAAATGCAGTTAGTGAGCAAAGAAAATTGGATTTATTTTTGCAACAGAAAAGGCAAAGGTTATTATTTCTTTAGGTACACTGTTGGTTAATGTCTTCCCTCTGAAAAAAGCAGTGTCCTGCACCATCTTATCCTTCATGCTTATCATACTTGCTTAAATAGCTAATATTATAATGTAATTAAAGAAAAATTGAGAACGTGGTAGGCAAAACCTGGCAATTTTCCTTTAAGCAGTCTTTCTGAATTGATCTGCTTTGCAGAAGCAGTAGAGTTACACATACTCTTCATACAAAACATCTCTCATACACAACCATACTTCTGTCAGTGAACTCTGTCGAGGACAGCTCATATGATCAGATCTTCAAATCTGAAATTTTTTTGTGGTAATAGATCTACTTGCATAAGAGAGTGGAGCATGAGCAGGTTTATTCCTTAAATTGACATTGCTTCAAAATGTAACTAAGTGCCTACAGGATCACGAAATTTTTTTCCTTTTAATATTTAGTTATGGGTGATGAGTCAGTACCATTTTTGCTGGACCAAGGAACCACTAAAACATATCAAATACCTATTAGTCATCTGGACTACAAATTCATTGAAAAATGCACAGATGTTAAGCACCTGGAAAAGATTCTCAGAGTATTAAGGTAAACGTATTTTCTTATCTTCATAATAATTATATTCCTGTTCTGTAAAACTTGAGGGAACCCTTATCTAAATACCCTTATCTGCCTGAACCTTTTTGTGACTTTCTAATTTAAAAATTAAAATACAAAGTTAAAGTAATCATGTTAAAAGTGTCCCAATGATAGCACTAGAATTCTAAGTCCTGATTTAACCATTGAAAAAGTTTGAGTAACTGAATGTCAGGTTTTTCTCAAACTGCTGCTGCTGTATTTTGGTTCTATTATGATCCATCTTGCCTGACTCTGGTAATTTCAGATGCCACACCTGTTTAACTTTTGCTGAAAATGACACAAAATTTTTTTTATGAGCACTTTGATGATAATTTGAACAGTATATGTATGGACATTGGAAAATGGTTGAGGGTTGACTGGAATTTTCTGATGAAAATGTTATTAGATGACAGTAAAATTGAGTTGTAACAGGGAAATAGTCCTCTGCAGTCACTGTAGTGACTACAGATGGAGAGAAATATGGAGGACACAGTGCAGTTTAGTTCTTTTTTGTGAACTTTTATATCTTTGCATTTGAAAGGTCTGGTGAAGAGGGATGTTACCCTGAACTTACGTTTGTTTGTGAAAAGCGTATTGAGCATTTAGATCCAAAGAGCAGAGCTCTGAGAACAGATAAGCCTGCAGCCACAGCTTCTGATTTCACAGTTGAGGAGTGGGAAACAATTAATGATGAGCTGATGGTACAGTATCTAATTTATAATGGTCCATAATATTATCACTGTATCAATCTTCCTCTTCTTGTGCCTAAATAGAGTGTAATTATTTGATTGAATGAGGAAATGATCAAAGGATTATGTTTTGGTTTTTTAATTGTTTTCTTGAGTTAATGTCACTGAACCTTTAGTGCCTATTTTAACTTTACAGATTTTTTGTTTGGTAGGTTACTTTGTATTAAAAAAACACTATTGCTTTTTTTCATAATTGTTTTTCCCTGTTAATAGCAATGTTTTGTAAGTATAGTTGTTAGGGTGACGGTAGACTGTGAAGTATATCTTCTCTACTACCTTAAGGTATATATATATATATTATTTATTTATTTTCAGAGCTGGCTGACAGAAATGAATGAAGATGATAAGAAATCACAGTTCCTGAGAACAGACACACCACATGAAAATCAAGATAACTTGCCCCCCATTCGTTGTTCCAGCAGCTGTCTTCCTGCTAATCAGGTATCTCCAGTTTTCTAATGTGTGTTAATTATATGTTTTTCTAAAATTAGGAAATTTTATATGTACAAACTTCCAATCACTGAGCCTTTCTTACTAGATTTATTTTGTTAACCAGGAAATAAAAACCTTTAAGCTCCCTTGTGAGAGACCACTGCTTAAACAAAAGTACTTTCTTTGTACTAGCATGTGTCTTGTAATAATGTTTTAATTCTGATCAGGAACTCACTGCTGGAGCAGATCTACTTAAACACCCTTTTTTGATCTTTGATTCATGTTTCAAAATGGTTTTTAAGCATATGAATCAGGTTCTTTTTGGATGAAATTATGCCAGGAGATTTTCTCCAGCTGCCAGTACACTTTTGTTCCATGGGGCGGGACAGGAGCTAGTCCAAAATAAATACCTTGAGTTGCCATTCCCACTGCAGTCATATAGCATACTTCCTAATTTAGCCATTAAGCACACTTAACAAATCTTCAGAATTAAGAACGAATACTTACATTTTTCCTAGGTATTAGTTTCCTTATGTTTGTTTTTTTTTTTCAGTTTATTTATCTGCCTAAAATCAGTTTTGTCTGTGACTGACTTTTCTTGCTAATACTAAATGTAGTGCTACTGGAGGGATTGGCAGACAAATAGGTATGGGATGGGATTTTTCTGAATTGTCAGTGTTTTCATAGACCACTTCAGTCTGATTCTCAAAATTTTCTTTGAAATTCTGGGACACTGCTGTAACAAATTCCTTGAAGTATTGTTCTTTTTGGATGTTTGGGAGTCAGAAATGTCATGGAAAGATCCTTACAGGTCATGTGATATTTCTTATTAGTTGTTTTGGTGGGGTTTTTTTAATAATTATGTATTAGTAAATGCCTGATTTTTGTTCCTATGTTGTCAGAAACTACTTGTTGTCAGCTAGTACTTAGACATTGGACGAAGACATTTGGGATAGCAAGACACTTAGTATTGAGACTAAGGCATGCTTTTGTTTTGTTTATTTTGTGGGTTTTTATGTCATTAATCTGTATTCTTTCACATTTTGCAATATATGTTCCTCTTGACTATCCCATTATGCTGAGATGGAGAGTGCCACTGTAGCTTTACTATTGATTCATGTCCTGTATGAGTGCTTGTTTCAACAGAAAATGGTAAATAAAATACCATGTGAACTCAGTGAATCCAGATTACAATGTAAGCATAAAATAACAGAAAGTGTCTTGAAATCTAGGATACACAGTTTTACTAAAGAGGATGTGTTCTCCTTTCAAAGATAAAAATATTTATTCGCGTTTTTTCTCCTACTTTAAACCATGCAACAGTCTTCAGGTCAAGCTTTGTTCTTTTGTTCTTCACCTTTTGTTCTCCATACAAGGTTTAGGTGTTAGCAGTATTACTCAGGAAACCTGGATATAGCATTACACTTTATCTGTGGCATGTGATTTCCATTCCTTTTGTCCAAGCAAAGACCTCTGAAATAACTGTAACCTGTCCTGGAAGAGAGAAGGGAGACCTGAAACTAAGTTTTAGAATTCAGTCTTTTTATGCAGCAGTACAGTTACATCACTACTAGATCACTACTGAATAAAAAGAAACTATTTCTACAGCATACACTAAATTTATATTTGTAATATGAAATCTCAAAAAAATTTGAATGTACATAATCAGCTTTTTTTTCTTTTCTTTCTCTCTGATAAAGCTATTTGTAATCTTACAATTTTTAAACATGTTTTGCTAATCAGTTAGGACTAATTAATTTTCAGACTGGCATCATATAATTTCTTAAGTGGTATCAAGTTTACAGTTGGCATGATAAATTTCTCCTCTCTGCTAGAAAGAAATGAACAAACCTTTCTGTAATTTTATGTTATCGCTTGACTGGAGACTATTCCTCTGATCCGATGCATAAAAAGTTCAGCATCTTCAATTAAGCCAATTTTGGAAGTCCTTATTGACCCTAAAACACTGGATTGCACCAATGGATACCAGTTTTATAAATGGAAGCATTTTGTTTTATCTATAACCAGATTTTCTTGCTAATACAAAATGTAGGTAGAGTTTCAGTTCACTGCTGATAGCTTGTAATTCTATATGGTGTTTTCTTTTTATTGGTGTGAAGTCATGGGCAAGATTTTCCAAAAATGAATAGAAAAAGAGTTAAGTTTATGCAATATTTTCCTCTTTAACACAATGTTAAAGAGGAAGTTTCTGTCTTACATCCCTATTTTTCTGTCACACTGCCTCACTTCTTCCAGGAGAGAACTAGATCATGGGTTTACAGATATTCGTGTTCAAGTAGGGATCTCAGCATAGGTTCTTTTGCCAAATGTGGTTTCCTAATACTATTCCAGAAAGATTTCTGTCCTTAGATACCTCCTCATGCTACTGTCCAGGGCATGCAACATGCATTCCAAGGTCTGTGTTATAAAAATTCACTGTGATAGGATCTATATAGCTCTCATGTTATTTTGGATAGTCTGAACTAAAAAAGAATACTTGTTGGCTGACACGTTATAGTAGTGTCTTAGACCAGCATGCAGGGCCCACAGGAGAACCAAGGACGAATTCTGTATCACCTGAACAGCCAGTCTCTGTGTTGCTCTTTGGCCCACTGAAAGTGTCTAATGGGCTTCAGAACCTGTGAGATCCATGTGTTGTGAGTTCTGGCAAGAAAAACGACAAGCACAAAGATTTTTACTTTTTTTTTAGTCCCACAGCATGCAAACATATATTTTTCATTGGATGAGATGCTCTGAAATATTACTGATGGAGAAATTCCTGACTGCTGGAACCACAACTTCATTACAATTGTCTCAAGAACATGAAACCTAGAATTTTTAAAATTGTGAAATTTTGAGTCAATTCTTTTGCCTTATTCCTTTAAAGTATATGCTGTAGTTCTCTCCCTAAGTTGAAGTTGCATTACTGTAAGTACCTTATGCATTTTCTTCTGACAGTTTCAATATTTTTGTGCTCATTTAAATTAATGACTTCTGGTTTAAAAAAAAGATTTGGTATTTATTAAATTAGTACATTTGTAATATACACCAGGATGCATACATAATGATAACTCATGTTTCAGGAAGGCATATTTAGGAGTTCCCTCCTCCAAACATGCTCTGATCACTAAATGTATTTGTCATTTTGTCAAGCTTCTTGAAAGAAGAACATTAAGAGTAATTCTGAAGTTATATACTATAAAAGTTTGTGTAACCTAACATTATAGATAGTCAGAAGTGTTTACAGGAAGGGTGACATTTGCATTATGTAAATTGAGTTGTTTACATGCAACTACAGAAGTATGTCCTTGTTACAGCGTCACCACTGGTAAAGCAAGTTTAAGAGGCTGCTGCTTGTTTCTTTGGTCCAGTTGAACTGGTACAGATATTTAGGGATTGTACTGTGATCTCTGTTGTTTGTTTGAATCCAGAAAATTGTAAATCTGCAACTCTGCAAAGAATTACAGTGGTCTAACTTAGTGAATTATGGATCATAAGGTAATAGAAGGGCAAAATGGCCAGGACAGAGTAGATGGGAGTATTTTGAACTGGCTCTTCCACTGTGAAATACCTGTTGGGAACCACACCTTGCTGTTAAGTATTTTGAAGTCAGCAAGCAGGGAGGGACATATCAGAAATAAAGTCTCATGAGAGAACCAGAATCGATGCCAAAGGTGACAGTTATGGAAATAGGTTCCATTAGTGTAGGAGGTGGGTTGCAATACAAGTCAGTCAAATCTGTTATTGGGATGATTGTTGCAGGAAGATCCTAAAGATAAATTTTAGGTAAGCCAAACCCCAGTGATGGAGCTTGTCTAAAAGCTAGAATGAATGTAAATCATCTTAGGAATTAGCTTTAGTGGAGTCATAAGTAGTCAAAAGAAGTCTAGACACTATTTTTGAGTCAATAATGTGGAAGTTTGTTGTGAGGGTTCCAGGGACTATCAAAATCCGTGCATTGCATTCTCCTGGAAAAGGCATGCCTCAAAGTTACTGATTCAATCTTCATGTGAAACACCTCATCACAAGGCTGGATTTTCCCAAAACTGAGTTCTCCCTTGCTGTGTTGAAAAGATGGTTAGGAAGGTGGCATCACAAGATCCTAATTAGGAAAGAGCAGTCTCTGTCTGAAAGTTTTGTTCAGTGCCTCTGTGACATGTAACAGGGCAGTGGAGAGAAAGTGTGAGACTGAAGAGCTCCTCAGATTGCAATGATATGTGAAATGCATGAAGATTTTCTTTAAAGCAACACAAATTACTTTTTCAAGATTATGCTGAGATTAGTCACAAATAGCATTGGTAACTCAGAATGCATTGCAGAAACAAAACTAAAAAAAAAAGGCTTTGCAATTTCTACTGCAAAAAATTATCTTACTGGCTGTTTGGTTCTCTTTCAGAACAGGACACTGCAAAACAAACAAAGAAACAAGAAGAACATTCCACGGGATTACAGTGAATGGGAAAAGTATGTTAAATCCTTTATATTTAAGTTTTTATTAAAGCTTATTTATTTGTTTAATTAGGGAACACAGTTGTTGTATTTTCCAGAAACATAGTATTAAGGTCAGCACTTCAGGGAACTGTAACACTTCTATGAAACTTCATTTTTTTCTTAATAAATATTCTGTTAAAATGCAAATGATGCTTTGTGTTGCTAACACCTAGAACAAGTTAGTTTATACTTTTGGACCAACTGTGTGAAGTACAGCAAGTCATCAGAAAAATAAAGACTGATTTTTTTTTTCTCTTTTCAGATTTAATTTTTCTGTTCAGCATCAAAGATATAAATCTATAGAGGTACATAAAAGCAAGGAATTGCAATTAATGTAATTACTGAGTTTTTTGAAAGCAATTCTAGGCTTATTTTACATGGGCTTATAAATCTGATCTTCTCTATACCTAAAGCCACAATTCTAAATTAAAAACAAAACTGATGAATACTTACTCCTGCACTGAACCCTACTGACTTCAAAGAATGAGCTTCAGGCAGGTGCATCAGTTTACTCAGATGCAATTACACATAATAGGGATTTGGACAGTAGCTGTTTTGAGAGTGGATGGAGCCCTGATATAAAGACACTCTCTGCATCATATAGTGGTGGTGTATTACCATCCCAAGTTATATGACAGATTGATAGCTAAACTGTTGAACACAGAGGGGGGAAAGCACATAATTCTCTGTTTTGCATGGTAGAAGTGTTTCTGGAGTTCCTGAAATCTGGAATATGATGCTGTAGAATCAGAGTGAGGAGGCACAAGTTTCCAGTGCTGTAGATGGAGAGCTAAATCTAGGTATTGGGAGGGTTGGGTAATGAAACTCTCCCCCAAAATGCCTACAAAAACCCTGTTCTGTGTAAGATGTTGTTCTTACAAACACTTGTGCATATCAGTTATTTTCATGTGTGTACTGGGGCCTTCCTCCTAAAATGTGGACAAAGAAAATAGATTATCAGAATAACTTCTGCAACAATTTATTCTTTCATCCCTCTTTCCACTGTAATCCAAATTTCCAAAGTAATCATTTGTGGATTTTGTTTGCAGTTTTATATACACAATCTTTAAGTGCTTTAGCATGCTGATAATACTACAGTTTGTGAATTTTCCCCTATAATGTATTTATTTTGGATTATGAGTATAGTGAAACAGAAGTTGTTTGAAAGAAATTTTCCATTTTGAAGCATATCATGTTTTCAAAACATTTTGTGGATAATTTCAAAGCTTTCAAGTAATTCTTGAGGCAATTTCTGAACAAAACGTTTAACTTCTTATTTTAAAAACATTTACTTGAAATGTGGTTAATTTATAATAAAAAGGTAAAAGTAAGCTAGCAAAAGATCAGATTCAAAATGGAGTACAGTTAGCCTTACCTGAGAAGGTTTTGATTTGGTTAAATTTTCAAAATGGTATCTCTATTTCAGATAGAACTTATTTGTATTGTCAAGATCATTGTGGAAAGAAAATGCTATTTTTCATTAAGCCCTACACAAAAAAACATCAAGCATAGTGTTTCTAGTTAGTGTAGGAATTGGTTATTACCATATTTGTTTTATAGGACTATGGCAGCAATATTTCTTTATATAAATTCCTAACCACTGTTTTTAAAAGCTGCTTCAGAGTAGCTTTGTAAGTGTCTGAGACTATTTTGAAATTTCTCTCAGATTTACTGAGAGAAATTGCTTTGAAGCTGTTTCTTAGGTATTTTGGCAAAGGTTAATAGAGATGTTTGATGGGGCTGGGATTGAGCCTGATGATACTAATTCTTAAATGTTATCTTTTTTGGGGAGATAGAGAGGAGCTGAGGCAGAGATTTTTCTGAGGAGGAAGAGGAGGAGGTAATGTATAAACAGAAGCACAGAAAGTACACCACAGAGGAGGGAGTTAAGACTAAATGTCTTTTTCCTGACTAGTCACACATAATTGATCACTTTATTCCTTTTCTTTTGGTTTATAATGGAAATATAATATGACTTTCTGTTAGTCAAGGAGTCTTCCTATGCAGCATTATTGAATTTGTCATTTTTGTTAATTTAAGGTTCGATGTGGAAAAGGAATGTTCTAAAATTGATGAAAGCTGTGAAGAAAGTAACTCAAAATCAAGATTCTTCAATAGGCCAAGTCTGCCTATTATCAAAAATACAATAGACACAACTGGTAATGTCTTAGAAACATAATTTGTCTTTAATTGTAATAATGTGTTGTAGAGCATGAATACAAGTTGAAGAGGTATATCATATAGTTAGTGTCTTTATTTTTCGGCCTCTAGATATGCTGGAAGTTGTTAGATCATCAACTGAGCTTGAAGCCATATTCAAAAAAATTCTAGTCTTGATGTTAATAATCATTTAGAGTGTTTATATTGTGTTTAGGTTGAGAGCTCTAGGTAAAGAAGTGAAGCATACATCTGGTATTATAAATGAATGGTAGAGGTTAGCCGACCGCTTTCAGCTAGCACTCTGAATTGTATCAGAAGAATTTAGGTTTTACTACAAAAAATAAAATACAAATTTGTCTTTTCGTAAGCCACGTGCTTTTTAAAAATAATATGCAGATTATGACATTCAAAATATTTTAGCTGACGGTGTTTTGATTACATCTGCACAAGTTGTTAGTTGTTGTTATGTAGAAATATTTTTTGCTAGGAATGACAAAGAGAGAGAAAATCTTTGTTGCTACTCGTGAAAAAGAAAAGGGCAATGAAGCCTTTGCCATTGGCGATTATATGGAAGCAGTGACATATTACACTCGGTGAGTAAATATTCTTGTGTTCCTATATTTTAATGACTGTTACTTGTGAATATTATGTTTAGAGCAATGTAATTGAAGTAACTAATGACAATTAGATTATTTTCAAAAGGGCAAAAAAGATTTGACGTAAAAATACTTAAAGCGCTGTTGCATACTGATATTAATTTTTATTTATCAGGAAGAGACGTGGCTACTGATGAAATGCAGTCTACAGGTGTCACAGACTTCAGATTTTTCAAAACAGTTGAGATTCAAGGGCATATTTACAAAAACAAAAGGATAAGCAGTGTGTTGAGAAACTAAATTAATTGTAATTAAACGTTTTTGTAGGATTGTCTCATTGGTAGGATTGTCTCAAGTGTGAATAAGTACAATTGCTTCTATAATCTATTCTTAGGAGATTAAAAAAATCATTGTTTGCAGCTTCATCATAACAGTGTAATTAGTAACAGTCCAGAAAAAAAAGTGTGTGAACATAAGGTTAATAAAAATAAGACTGTGGCAATGCATTTGCCATATACCTTTAAAAAGTGCTCGTCTTATTTAGTGCTCAGTGGACTACATTCAGACTTTGACTTTATTTATGTAAGTAGAGGTTGTTGCTCCAGGACCTCTGTTGTATTTGTTTCAAAAGCAGAGAAGTCCAAGGTGAATGGAATTGAGTACACAGCTTATCCCACCATCTCTCTTATCCCACTGAAACAGACCTTTTATTCTTTTATTCTTTTTTTGTTCCCCATGTTCCCTATGCACTGTGCATTTGTGTGCAAACACTTGATCTTGTCCCTCCTCAGTCATGCTTTTTTTATAAGGGAAGTGTGAGTATGCCAGTGTGCTGTACCCCCACCACTTGCTATTGCCCACTCTTCCCAGTGAACTCAATTTAGGGTTGTCCTTGCTGAGTTAGCAAGGGTGTTGGCAAACATTCCCATGCACTCCTTTGTCATGTGCATCTTAGCACCCAGTGCTGCCGGAGTCTTCCCCCTTTACAAGCAAGATCAAGGAGAAGGCCATTGGTGCCCCTCACCCCCCAAGCTCTTCACCATAACCTGCAGAGCTCTGTGGTTACTCTTGACACTCTCAAAGGTTTCATTTGACAGTATTTTTGGAGCCTACATGATAGCAGGAAGAGGGAGTAGTTTAAGTGACAGATGAGCCGTGGCATCTTCTGTGCAACATCTCAGGTCTAAGCCCTGGCAAGCAATAGGCCTCTGAAGACAGTAAACTAGGTGGTGGATGGTTGCCTCTGGTTTCACAGGAGGGAGTTTCTAACCACTACTGTGGTTAGAATATCAGTATTAATATTGTTATAATACTGTTTTCAGCTTTTAGTAGTGAAGAGTTTCTACATTCAGGTTTTCGAATTATCAGCCCACCATGGTTAATATTCCCTTTTTTTTAGGAGTATATCAGTAATACCGACTGCAGCTGCATATAACAACAAAGCTCAAGCAGAAATCAAACTTCAGGACTGGGACAGTGCTTTGCAGGATTGTGAGAAGGTACTAGATATGGAACCTGGCAACATAAAAGGTAAAGTAGAACATAAAGTTGCCCTTCTTTGTACTATTTTTTCTCTAGCAAATAAGACGGTATATACCCATTCATGTTGAGCTTTAGATTAGGTCCAAGTATAATTAAGGAAACAGTGTAGCTCCTAAAAGTAATTTCAACATTTCTTTGGGAAGTTAGGGACGTTTTATGCAGTTCATCCTGTTGATCTGTTATGAGTATTCTTATGTGGTAGCATGGGGTTAACTCTTCCTTATATAATGACTATAAGCCCTCTTGTATTCGTGCAGCGTAATACTTCCATAATGCCCACACTGAAATATTAATTAACTTAAAAGCAACATGAAAACTATGAAAGTTGCTGATTTAATCATTTGTGAGGGCAAGGACTTGAATGTAGCTACCTGTATTTGCATGGGTGTAGGGAAAAAAATTTAATAATATGAAAAGATGCTTCAGAATTCATAATTGCTATCTGAAAAGATGTCATGTGAAATTGCATTATTAAAAATTATCAAGAGAACAGTTATTACGAATATAGAGTCATTATGAAGTAAATGCGAAATTTAAAAAACCATATAGACACTTAATATGTCTAGAAAAAATAGTGTACTTTTAGCCACTTTATGCTTTAAATACATAACTAATACACTTTGTTCCTTTGTAGCTCTGCTGCGCCGTGCCACTGTACACAGTCAGCTGCAGAATTATCAAACAGCCATAGAGGATCTGAATAAAGTATTGGGTGTTGAACCAGAAAACCCTATAGCTAAGGTAGAGATCAGTGAGTTGAATATGGCTAGAAAGAGATTGTTTGCAGTTGTAGCATAAAGTGAGTACAGTTTATGTTCTTTCATTTGAATATGAGTTTTCAGGACCCACTCAAGCTGCTGTGCCATTGATCAGTTTCCCAAGACCGCAGGTGGTGGACATTAGGTACTTGTGATCAGATCTTCTGTTCACAACTTAATTGTGAGAAAAAAAATCTCTGTTGATTTAGATAATTTAGGTGCCTAAAAATTTGCTGTTGAATATGCTTTCAGTATTAGTGTCTTAGCTGATAAAAATTACTTGGAAATTTCTCTCAAAAAGATCCACTGGGATAGGTGCGTTTAAGTTTGACACATAATCAAAAGAAAAATTCAACAGAGATGCCAAGCTTCTATTGTTGCAGTGGTAAAGTCAACACAAAAGGAGAGGACCTGGGTTCTGTCCTCGCTTCAGCATGATCCTCATCTCTCACCTCCAGGCTAGAATGAAAAACCTTTGATACCTTCTGATAAATCTGGACCATTCATAGCTAATTTTGGATCTAAGAAAGCCAGATGCTTTCTTTGCAAATCAAGGTCAGGATGTGATCCTTGTGCTATTACTTCAGCTGTTTAGGAGAGGATTGATTTGTGTCTGTTCATTGGTATCTTGGGGGTGTTTTGCGGGTTAGAACACAGTCCTTGCACTGGGACTCTACATTCCTGAGCATCTTCAGTACTGGGCAGTTTTGATAGTTAACTGCTCTTTTTCTGTTATTTATGACTCCATCATACTGATCCCCCCACACACTTTTTTTGCTTATGACTTCTGAATGCTGTTTAATTGTCTCATCACCTGAATTCTGTCCAGTTCTTGCTGGTGGCATAGTGTAAGCTGCCAGCAGCTGCTGATTGCTGCTTCTTTCCATGGAGTTATTTGATCACTGCTATTGCTTGACCCAGTGAGAGAGGTACAAGTTTGTTGTGTCAAATTCACGCACAGCATTTATGCCTTGTGGGGTGTTCTTGGAGATAAATTCCTCTCCAGAATAGTTCCTGAGTTTCACATTAACCAAGGAATTACATCTGTCTTGAGATTTGAGTTTCTAAAAGAGATTTGGGATTTTTTTTTTCTGTTTACAAGAGTGAATCACTAAATAGCTCGTGAGTCTGTGATGAAAAACTCCACAGCAGTCTTTGGGAAAAGTTGTATCAAACAGGCTGTGCTGAGACTTCTTTCAATACCAGACATAAATACTCATTTGGAGTACACTCTTCCAGAGATGTAAATGCATTAGTTCCTTTGCTGAGCAATGCTTTTGTGGCTCAGAGCAGATGTCTGTACTTTGTCCTTATCCATGCCAGCTATTATGCCTTGGCTGGCACATTTAGAAATGACAAGTGCTTAGCAGGGCATTTTTCTCAAGTTGCTCTTTGCTTGGAGGATCCTCAAAACTCTCTCGAGCTAAACAGGAGTGTATGGAACATATACAGAGTGTATGTTTACGTCCAGAATCCCTAACAGAAAAGTAAATTGGTTGTCAGTAACTGGATTTCTTCAAGGTACTTTGTCCATGTGAATCTTTGCTTGGTGCTGTTCTTATTTTTGTCTTGAGACAGGGAGTACTGAGATGGCACTTCCTTGCACAGCATTGAATTAGATTCAGAATAGTGCATAATGTTGGATGTATCTTACTCTGCTCTGAAAGTGTAAAGTGGTTTAGGAGTTTAAGGGTTACAGTGACAGTGCAGGTTGATGGTTGGACTTTATGATCTTAAAGGTCTCTTCCAACCTTGACAATTCTGTGATTCTAAGTGCAGTTAAAATTGGGTTTTTTTGAGTAATAAAAAAGGTTATGGAATGAGAAGCTGTTTGATCATCTAATTGTAACTCTTACAAGAAGAGCAAACCCTTTCATTATTCAGCTGTGACCTTCTGCTACACTGTTAAGACATGGTCGTCTCTTGGTTCTAGTTTTATCAGTTACATTCCCCCATCAGACATCAGATTCACTGTAGCATAAATTTTGATTTTGACTTTAGGCTATTTTGGAAATTTTTTAGAGAGCCTGTTTTCTACATGTGTCTTCTTAGTAGATCATGCCAGATACCAGAATAGTAAATCTTTTTTTTCTTTCAACTTTTTTTTTTTTTGCTTAAGCAGTTAATTCAAGAAAAATGCTTATTTATTTCTGTGATATCTTCTGAGAGAGACAGAAATTGAGTGTTAATCTTGGTTTTGATACCAACTCTTGGGAAATTCACATTTATATACTATCTTTTTATATTGGTAACATCTTGATAGTTCTTCAGGATTTCACGTGGATTATTTAATAGAGCTTATTTGCTGTATATAAATAATAATTTATATACAAAATAAAAAAGGCTTCTGCTATTCCTGGTTTTTTTTCTCTGTTCTAGAAAAATCTGCTGGAGATTGAAGAGAAACTGAAAGGTTTAAAGCCTGTATCTGAGATTCAAGGCAAAGGAAAAAGAATACTTATTCAAGAGATAGAGGATTCAGAATGTGATGAAGAAAGAGGGGAAAATACAGAAGAATGTGAAAGAAGTGGTGGAGATAAAAGTAATGTCATATCATTTCCTATTTTATTTTAACCTGAGGAAAAACATTGCTTTTGACGTTGCAGTGTTTATTCATCCATATTTGCTTTCAAAGAATTTTACCTGTTTGAAGGCTAGAATTATACTTACTACGTTAAGTAGATCCAAGTGTGAATCTAGAATCCAGTTTTACTACTCATCTTTGGAATTCTTTTTGTAATGCGTATAACAGAGACAGAGGGAACATGTTGCTATAAATCACCTACTTCCCTGGGCCCTGTGTAATTTTATACCTGTCCTTTGATGTGGACCCAGTAACAGATATTTTTTGGTGTTAAAGAATATTTTGTGTTTCTTAGATCCTTCTCTCACACAGCGCTCCTGCATTCCCATGTCACATTTTGATTCTGCGTTTTTCTTCCCTTGATTGGATCAAAGGATGTAAAAATGATCAAGTGGTCTGTAATTTTTCTTTTTGTTTGTTTTGAAAACTATCAATCTTTTTTTGGTTTTTAATGAAGGGGTAATGAGACACGACGGCAGTGACTTCTGTGTTTTCTGTGCCTATGTAGTTCTTGGTCTTGAAATTAAATCAGTCTGTGGGTTTTCCAGCTTAATCATGAATGTAGGATTGTACGTGTGTGATATAATGATGCATTATTTGCACACAAGTTTAAGGAAAATACATTTTTCAAAATCAGTTGGTGTCCACTAAGTCTCCTCAGCTATAACCCTGGAAGAAAGGATGGATCGTGTCCCTAGCCTAAATATCAGTTAATTTGGGGTTGCTTTCTATTGGGAACATTCAGATGACTATGTGCCTTCTAGCTCCATAGGAAGACTCCCATTCTGTTGATGAAAGGTTAGGCTTTTAAACATAGGGAGGATTGTCAACTGACGTCAGTGGCATATGTGTTCATGTGAAACACTTGACTGTTTTTGAGATTTAAGTGGCAAGCATTGTCATAGATTACTCTCTGTTTTCTTGTGCAACTGGAAACAAATATGAATTTAGTTCAGTTAATGAATAAAAATGTTCTGTGAACCTAACAGCAGTAGGTAGACTAAACATCTTGTATGTCTTCTCTATACATCTGGTCACGCAGTCACTGGCAGTCCAGTAGTCCATGTAATCCTGTCATGTAATCACATTTATTTCACATTCTAGTTGGTAAGCCTAATGAATTCTTAGTAAGCTTACAGTTTAGAGATTGGGGGAAAAAATCAAAATATTTTTTGTTTTCTTTAGCTCTGAAGAGCTACTGTGTTTGTTTCATGGCCTTACAGTGAGTAAGGTCTTAGATTTCCATTTTAAAGTTTTTGATTTGTTGAGAAGCAAAGTGTGTTTGATAGGAGACAATTAACTACTCCAGTGATCAGTTGTGCTTGCTGTTGTATTTTTGGCATTCCTGGTATTGCTTTCTGCTCTTCTCTACCACTGTATTCCATGATCCTCTTTCCAGTGTGTTTGTTCATTTGGTATTGTTGGTTTGGTTTTTTTTTTAGAATTGTAATCTCTCTGAAGAAGGAACCCTTATTTATAATTCATTTGTGCAGTGTGTAACACAGTGGGGCCCAGCCTCTTGCTTTTAGGCTCTATTGCAAGCTTGCAATATGAAAATTTTGTACATGTTAAAACAGACAATATTGAAAATGCGCTCTAGCATTGCATTTGCAATGCATATCCTGAAGTTAAGAAAACCTCTCAATTACAGTGTCAGTCATTTTTCATTTGTATAAACAGAGACTGCTCCTAAGGAGAGATCAGAGTTATCTGGGAAGTTTGTTTTATTTTCTGGTTCAGAAAAATCCAGGTACAATCTCAATATCTAAACCAAGAACACATAATACAAAAGAGATACTTGCTGACAGTGTATGGCAAATGAAGAAAAAATATTTTAAGATTTTAGAAGTTAATCTATAGAGATTTAGAACATTCCAGTTGCCTTCGTATGTAGGTAGTTCAGAGTGGATGAAAGAGCTGAAAATGTTTACGGGCTTCATAATAGGTGAATTCACTGTGAACTGAACTTAGATACATTGTTTTTCATTCTGCCACTGTTATTCTCGTGCCATGCTTTTGGAGGATAAATACTTTTTGTAGCTGGAAATTAATTTTAAATGAAAGACAATGGCATCCATTAAACAAACCCCAAACTGCAAATATTCCTTTTGGAGTAGTCAGTAGTTTGGTTTTTTTTTTTAGGTTTATGATGGTCTTTCCATTTTAAGTTTCTTACTGTAGTAGTAACATACATTAAAATTCTTTCTAGATTTCATTTGTTGTCATTCTGATCAAAATTCTGCCCATACTTCTCAATACCTTTCTTAAATTTTCTTTGGAATTTATAATGCATCTAGATTTTTTTTTTTTAAGAGAAGTTCGTAAGTGATGATTTTTTTTTTAGCCCAGAATACTGCTTTCACAAATACATTTCTCTGTAGAGACCAATACAAGAACTTTGTTTATGTTATAAACACTGAAACTGAAAGACAATGAGAACTATATTTGAGAAATATATCTGTACAGTTTTGTGCATGTTGTTTACTCAGTCCAGAAATATTTAGGCAATTAGTATTACCCACCAACTAAACAAGGTAACTGTGAGTATTCCTATTTTCCAGGGCACTCCAAATGCTATGTTTCCAGTTTAATTCAGGACTGGTTCTGTGCACTTCATCTTCAGGAAATTTTCTCCTCTATTCAGGAAGTGATGGTCACGTTAATGACATTCACATCACATTTTGTCTGCCTCCCTTGGTTTTTCTTTTTCTGTAGAAGTTGGGATGCTTTTCGAGAGTGTTTCACTGTGTTTTCTAAAAACTTGCCCTATTACCTGTTTGTCTGTGACATTTAATTTTTTTTCTGTTTTGTTGAATGTATGTATAAATAATTAAGTTTTTAAAAATGTCTGTGCGGGTAGATTTATCGTATTATTGTGCCCACATGGTATTTCAAAATAGACACCACAGCTAGGGAAGGGGCAGTTGGAGCTTTTTTCTGTTAGACACTAGAGAATTTATTGTTTTTTAAAATTTTTATGCTTTCCCATCCTGTTCAGTTTGATTTCAGTAACATTTTGTTCATTAAAAAAATAAATTCGTTTGTAACAACCTGAAATTCACCCATGTTGAGTCAACTTCAGATGTTTTGTCAACTGGAAGTATCACTCCAGTATATGAAGGCATGAAAAACTTAAATATTTCAAGTTAAGGGAAGGTGAAACTCCAGCATCTTAATAGTACCACAACACGGAGTTGCCTTTCTGTGAGTACTAATATCAAGAGTCAGGCACTCTGCAGAAATCTCTATTTGAATGCTGTGATAATAATCTGGTAGGGATTCAGGTGAATAAGGAAAATGGAGATGTTATTATCTGATACCTTTGTTCTATAATTTTTTCCTAATTAAATTGGTAATAAATAATAGTGCTAGTTGAACGATCAGAAGTATGTATAAGAGGGGTTTTGACATGATGTTTGAATGAAAACTCCACAATAAGGATTTAGAAGCTTTTATCTCCCCTATTGTATGTTGTATTTGTGGAGAGTTTTGAAGTGTACAATGTTACTGGTTTGTTAGCTGTGTGATCTAATTTTAGCATGCAAGCATTTTGATTTGGTCATGGAAAATCGAAGTGTCCGTGTTGTAATAGCCAGTATGTAAAGAGTTAATTTCAAGGTGAACTCTACCATTCTGACGCTACAGGACAGGGGTTCCCATGTGCCCAGCGAAGAGGAATGACATTTCATAGTAACACCTTCTCAATAACAATTGTAAATTACTTGTAAGTAGGAATTTTCCTGTGTCCTTGGAAGTGTTTTCTGAAGCAGATAAATCTTGGTAGCATTAGGATGTCTGCAGGATTTGGCCCCCTGTCCTTTGGCAGCCCCCCCCCCCGTTGGCAGGACGATAGTTCGTTCCGATGATGCGAGCTCCAGCCCTGCTCATTAACTTCCTTGCAGGAACCGCTGTGCCAGTGGCGGCGGAGGCGGCGGCCGGGGAGCCCGCGATGGGCAACGCGCACAGAAAGTTCCGTAGCAAAGGAGGCGGCGGTAAGGCGGAGGGCAGAGAGAAGCAGAAGCAGAAGGAGCCCACTGAGAGCGGATTAAAAAAAGACACACCAGAAAAGAAACCAGGAAAGCATTTGTCAGACCACGAAGGTGAAGTTAATGGCTATTTACACAGCGATCAGAAGAGTGAAAGCTCTGAATCTGGGAGCTCCAGATGGTATACCGCAGGGTCTCAGTGGGCTGGTGGTGCCAGTCCTACTTCACTTCCTGCTATTGCAGCAAAACTAAAAAGTGAAGGAAACGAGTTATTTAAGAGTGGACAGTTTGGAGAAGCTGTGCTCAAATACTCGGAAGCAATTGAATATGTCATTGGTCTAGGTGAGTGTAATATCTTATACTTAAATCCAGGACTGTTTAGATGATTTAAAGGAACTGCCGATGAATTAAATTAGTCTGTTGTTGATTTTTGTCACGAGTTACTGTGTAGTAAATTCTCATTTCAGTAGACAGCAATTCATGTGACGAAATATAGGAACAAAAGTAATATTTTAATTTCCTTGAAACAGAGCTGTTGGCATTTATTTATGTTTGAATAATTACATGTTCTAGGTGACATGATAAAGAAAAGCTCCTTACAGCTTTGCAGTGTCAGCAAACTGCATCACTGCACTGCAACTTGGAGCAGGCAAGTCTTTAATTCTTAAGTGTCATTTTAGTAATGATCTTTGATTTTAATTGTAACTTCTTTTAGGAGAACGAAGTCCAGATGATTTAAGTATCTTGTACTCAAACAGAGCAGCATGTTACCTCAAAGAAGGGAACTGCAGTGACTGCATTCAGGATTGTAACAGGTAAATTGAAACCTCCCATGTAGAGCAACATTCCTGATGATCAAACATTTAACTGATATATTACTATTGCAGTTTGACTCAGAACAATATCAATAAGGTCTGACAGATATCTTTGTCAGTTATGTAAACAGTCACATGGAACCTAGAGAAGGAGTAACTTTTAACTTACTGTCTTGCTGTGTAAGGGCAGTTTTTAAGCTTCTTGTGTACATAGAGATGCGTAGCAAGATTAAAATTTTTAATGTAAAAGCAGGTTTACAATGGTGTTCTGCAATAACTTATATGTAAAAGCTTTGTTAAGCCAGATACTTATCACAGAGTTGGAAATTGCTTTCAAGCATGTGTATGGTGTATATGTGTGTGTCCTCTGTGTTTGGTTTGTTGTTTTGATTTGGGGTTTTTTAATATATACTTTGAATAGTCATAAACAGTAATTACAGCTGTTCAGGAATTGAGCTGAAGTCCTTTCTGCTTATTCTGGCTCTTAAGGATACAGGAGTTAGAAAAGATCAGACACCTTCAATAACTTCCAGACATTGCCTTCCACTAAATTATTACTGTATTTCTGATATATATTTTTTAAACATTTTCATAGATTGAGTTAGTAATGCTGAGGCTTAAGGTGCAAAAACGTATCCTAAAGCAATTAGAAATCATATTAATTAATCAGTTGAGTTTTTGCACAGCACAACTCAGCTGCTAAAAGCTTCCAAAACTAGAAATAAAATAAGCATGTACTTTCATAGTAACAAAATATATAACTTACTGTATATATTCTACCTGACAAAAAAGTTTTCTGAAAAAAAGAGTCATTAGCAATATTTTGTTAAAACATGCAGGACTACAGTCAGCTGGTCAATAAAACAAGAACCACCACATTTTTCTATCCAGGAGGTTTGATGTAAGACCTCAGCTGAAATGATTTTGGGTTTTGTATTCCTACCAATTGGGAGCTTATTTTCTTACTACTTAATGATAGTGTCCTTACTGCCATGCTTATTTTCTGAATACACAAGTACCCCTGATGCTTAGTGGTAGAAATAATTTTAGAGGCTGGGAAGCAGGAATGCAAAACTACAAACGTGTAAATTAGACAATGTCAAACAAATCTTCCCTAGGCAACACAACATAAAGAAAGATCTACAAATAGGTTACTTGATTTCAAAGTAAAAAATTGTGTAGTGCTGATACTTGTGATATGAAAATAAGTATTTAAAATTTATCTTTTATTGAGTTTTAGCTATTTGGGGCTTAGAATTGTATAAAAACCCCTATGTTGGATCTCTTGTCTCAAGACTGTGGTTTGGTGTGCCTTTGATTCTTGTTACAAAGAGTGAAAGAAGGCTCCCATGTACTGATGTGAATTTCTTCAGTACTATTGTGTGGTTTGGTCCCTGGCTGTATCATCTTTGCACTCTACCCTGAATATGTAGTTTTCCATTCCCACTATTCTTCAAGCAGTGTTGTCTTCCACTGAATTTATTTATGGTTGTTTTTTCCTTCATTCTTGAGGTTAGAAATTTGAAATTGTGTTAATATTCTTGTGAGTTACAGAATGTCAGGCATTTTTGCAGACATTTTGTAGGGGCTGTGATGTTGTGTGCAGTTGTAGCAGCATAAAAGAAATGGAACATTTGAAGTATTTATGTGAAATTCAGAATGTTTTTTCTAGAAATCATAGTTTCTCTAGCTTTAGAAGGAGTAATGATGCAAAGCCAATTTACAGCAGAGAAGGCCAGCAGCCTCCTTGCGCTTATAAACAGGAGCACAGCCAGTGGATTGAGAGAGGTGATTATCCCCTCATAGTCAGCACTTGTTAGACAACACTGTGATAACTTCTGGTTTTCAGCTTCCTCAGTACAAGAAAGACAGTGATCACCTGGAGTGAGTTCAGTGACGTGTCACAGAGCAGGTTGTGGACTCTGGAGTATTCCCTGAAGAGGGGAGGCTGAGGGAGCTGGGTTTGTTCAGCTTAGAGAATGGCTTCCAGAGGTTCTAGGAGCAGCCTGCCAGTTCCTATGAGGAGATTATCCACAGATGGATCCTGGCTCTTTCTGTCAGTGTTGTGGGAGGATAAGAGACAACAGACAAAAATAGAACCACACAAGGTTTGGGACTGTGTATTAGGAGAAACCTCCCCATAAACAGTGTGGAGCATTGCAACAGATTGCCCAGAGATGTTTTGCAGAGGTTCCCTTGCAGGTTTTCAAGGCCCAGCTGGGTCAAGCCCTGAGCAACCTTGTCTGATCTTGGGAGTTGACCATACCTGGGTTGGACCAGGGACATCTCAGCCTAAATTACTTTATGACTCTATGAAATCTAATTGTCTAGACTCATCTTAATTGCAGTATTTCAAAGCTGATCCTTCTTTCTCTTCAGCAAGAATCATTGATTGAAAAAAAAGTAGTCTTTAAGAAATAAAGCCTTTGTGGACTGCTTCTTCATGTTGCTGGAAAAGCACATGGTGTTTGGGAGGACTTCTGATGGCACAGTGTTGAACTCTGTGTTCACCAGGCAGACAATCAGAAGACTAAACAGACACAAGACAGGCAAAAACCTAAAAAGCAAAGAAAGACAGGTGTACATTCCTGTCTTACTGACTGTATTTTTTATGTGCATACTTTCCTGTAAGGAAGAAGAATCGAAAGTTACGTAAGTGAAAGCACCATATACTCGAAACCCTCGTAGATCTAGGCATGTCTTAAGAAAATAGCTTTTGCACTTAAATAACTGCCATTACATTAATCATATCTCAGTGATAAACGCAGTTTTCCAGATAGAGTAGAGTAAGCTGTAGTAAAAGCACTAACCATTTCAAAACTGCATGTAATTTAGGGTATTAATGAATTTAGGGTGAACCACTTAGTCCCATTTTCCTTAGTTATGTTACTGGAAAGCCCATCTGAAATCACAAAGTTATGTATAATTGTGTATATTATAAAATATTTTTATTATTATTATTTCAGTTACTCTGTTTCAATCCTGCATTTTTCTGTTGTTTTCTCCAGAGCTCTGGAGCTTCAGCCATTTTCCCTTAAGCCTCTTCTACGACGAGCAATGGCAAATGAGTCAATGGAGCGGTATCGACAGGCGTACATTGATTATAAAACAGTCCTACAAATAGACAGCAGCATCCAAGCAGCAAATGATAGTGCTAATAGGTAACTCCACTTACAAATTTTCTGATATGAGTTAAAATAGAAAAGTAGACCTTAAATTTGTTTGTTTTACATGGTCCCTCTGTTCTGTATCCCTCGTAGTTGTCATCACAATTAGTATATTAGAGGACTGACTGTTTCATTTAGTTGTTTTCCCATAATTTCACAGTTTTCCTCTGCCAGCAGTAGGTAACTTTCTGTTTTTTAAAAATGTAATATTTTAAAGTTGGGGGTGTTTTTAACTAGTGCTTCCACTTGTTGTCTTTCCTAACTTGTATTTTGTACCATATAAAATAATACTCTAAGGTCCATACTTTTTCTCTGACATTTCTGTTTACTTTTCATATTAACAATCTTTCTGTGGCAGTTGAAGATTTATGTTAAGCACGAATCATTCAGTATTCTGCAGAGGTGTAAAAAACATAATTGAATATTATCTTTGACTTAAGTATTAATCTTCCAGCATTAATTCTTGCTGCCAAGAGAGGTTTGAATTTGTATAGTTATATTTTAATAGTATAAAATCAGAGTGTACACACTATTGTAATTGTGTTCTCATCAACATAAAGTACATAAGTGTATGAATTATAGGATTTTTCCATTCCCTTTTCTTTCCTTTTTTCTTTTAATGGACAAAAAAAAAGTATATGTGAAAGCAGAACAGCCATTAATCGTTGAACAGGAACACACAAGCATGCGACTTTTAACAATGGAACCTAGTACCTTTTTTTTTTCTATTTAAGGCAAGGCCATGAACACTTGCACTATTACTTCATTAAAAAGTCCATAATATCTTTCTTTAAATTCTGCTTATTTGGCCAGAGCTTTATCATCTGCTCTTACAATTACTGTTTTTGATAACACAACGAATAGTTACTAATCTCCTGTATCTATGGTGATAATGGAGCACTTGGATTGGTGAGATAGTTGCTTTTCCTGGTATTTATGTAATTATTACACTTCTTAAAAATCTTGTTGGCTTATTTTATCTGCAGATATTCTTTTAATATTTCTCTTTGACTTGTAACTTGCTTACTAATAAGCTTATCTCCCTTTTTCCCCTTAACACTCTTCCTTTTCTCCTCTCTAGGCCTTCCTTATGTTTTTAGCTTCACTGCTCATTACTCTTTCCTCCCTGGCAACCCATCACCTTATTTCAGCTGCTTCTTCCTTCTCTTCTGCTGGTAATTAATTTTTGCTTGCAAATTGTTAGTTTCTAAAGCATAGACCTCCTGCGTAATTGAACTTCTACTATAATTTTTCTTTAATATTCCATCACTTATGAATTCAACTGAAACTGTTTACCAAAGTATTCATTTTAATTTCCAAAGAGACCTTTCTAAAAACGAATTTTAATAAAACATTACAGTTACTGTGCTGCCTTTTAACTTAAAGGGACAACACCAAAATGTAATTTAATTTTTTTTTTTAATATTAAGAATATCAGGTCTTAACAGCCTGCTTATATTGGAGGATTTCTTGTTTTTTAAGTTCCTCTGGGAAGTTGGATGGTGATGCTGTAGGAAGCTGATAGGAAAAACTCATCATCCTTCTTGTGTACGAGGGTGGGTTTGTTGAACAATGTTAAGGCTTGTCTCTCTGTGGTTACGTATCTAAGCAGACTTTCCAAAAACCTTAGAATCAAGTGCATATCTTTAATACTCATGTAAAAAACATGTAGACTTTTAGTATCAAGCCTTTACCTGATCCTTTTGCAATTAAAAGGAAATAATTTGAGTGTAAGTACAAACAAGTATACACAGTTATTTGCTTATCTTGTTTATTAGATGATGTTGAATTGTGTCTTTTATTGGTTCCTGACGTGACTTTTTAGATAAATTGGAAGGACTGTTTCTTTTAATGGTGTGTGACAAGTAACTGGAAATTGCATTTCAAGCATGCTTTTAATTAGTGGCATTTTCCTAGCTTTGTGAACATCAATGGATTTCCTACTTTGTGTATTTTAATTTCCTCTTGAGTGAGTATTTTATTATTTGCTTTTCACAGTTAGAAATACGGAAACTCTAACGTGTATTTATGCCTTTCCTCTTACTAAAAGGAAGTTTCATTCCAGTTGTCTCAACTCCTTTAATATTAGTGAGGAAATTGCATGAGATAGCTGTATTCAAGTAGTATGTTTTTTACACCTGTGTTAGATGGAAATGCACCTGATATAAAAAATTTTAGGTTTCTTTGCCATAGTATCAATGTGACTTTCTTTGCTACTCAATTCAGAATTTTCCTCTGTTAAAGTGTGTATTAGACTTATGACCAGTTGAACTTGACTCTTAAGCTTATGATGAGATTAGATGATGTTTATCTCACTGTTATTTTCATAGTTGATTAAATTTGTTGTTTTTTTTTTTTTTTAAATTACAAAATTTCTAATGGAACCATGAAGTCTCATGTGGCTTCACTTACTATGTTAACTTAGGTCTTCAAAATGTAGCACGGCAGTGGGAAACTCCCACTTGAATGGAATTCGGATTGAGCCTCTCATTGACTGAAATAGTTGACTTATATATATGTGTTGGTTTAAGAAAGACTGAACAGTTTTTATATACAATGAAAATATTTTTAAATGGGGATAAGGAGTGATCAATTAATGAATTTGTGACTATAAAGCTCTAAAATACCACTTAATGCAGGCTACATTGTGACCTGCATTGGTTATTTAGACAATTATTCTTTCATTTGACATTTGCAAAGTTAGGTACGACACTTTGTCTGAGGATATTGTAATCTACACTTGTTATAAATAACACCTATGAACAGCTGAGAAGAATAAACAAAATAAATACATCCATTTTTTTCGTATTTCTTTACTGGATGTGGTAGGAAGCATTTAGAGCTTAGTTGCAGAAATCAGTCATTGGCTTAAACATTAACAGGTCTTGTCTTCTAAATACCATTGACAACTGTGAAAATATTTTTTTAAATTAGTCTGAATAATTGTTCAGTTGTTTTTTGAAAAATTAGAACATTGCATTATTTAATTAGGGCGTTAGATATTGAAGTGTGAGTTAAATATAGGAAAAGTCATGTTGGTGGGGCTGTTCTCTTTCAGAATAACGAAGACTTTAATAGATCAGGATGGTCCCAGTTGGAGGGAGAAACTGCCACCAATTCCAGTTGTTCCAGTTGCTGCTCAGTTACACAGGTGGGATGGAGGAAACTTCACTTCAGAGAATAAGCCAGGAAGTACTATAGATGTCAACAGAGAAGAACAGTTGGAAATGAATTGTATGTATAACTAATGCAAATATATATACAAAAAAAAGAAAACAATTTTAATTGAAAGATGGAATATGTTTTAGTAATGTCAAAGAAACTGCTTTAGAAAATACTTTTCAGAGACCTTTGTGAAAAGCCGAAGTAGATGACTGTCATTTCCATGATTGAGTTTAATGTGCTTTATGGAGCACAGGTATGATAATTTTTTTAAACCAAGTGATGTAGTTTGCAGCGTGTAATTTCTGAAATTATATAAAATCAGCAGAAATACTCATCAGCAGTATATTGAGTCATATAATGAGCATCAGGTATAGTTATATGTCTGACATCATAGTATAGTTATAAAACAGTTTCCCTCCCCAAAAACACCACCCAAACAAACATCCAACTTTGACAGAAGACATTTAGGAGTCATCTTTCAAAGATGTCAGTTCTGCACTTGTCTATACATAATCACTGAGTGCTAAACTCTAGGAAACTAACTTCCTTCCTGATTTTTTTTCTCTTCATTGCAGTTTCCATTTTTCTTCTTCAATAAATCAGATGAAGGAACCTTTCTGATTCATATTTTATTGACATTAAACATTCTTTTTGCAAAGGCCTTAACTCTATGATATTTTTACTCAAGTATTAATTGGTTTCCCTTTGAGTTTATTTCAATATAAACAAAAGTAGTGCTGAGGATACTCTCCCCTTGATGAACACAGAGGTGGCTGCAGTGCATAACTGGGCTATTGGCCAAATGTGTAACAGTGATGGGGTTATCTGTCCATAATGCATTGTTGCAATACTGAATGTCCTCTAAGTGCTTGTCTCAATCTGTTTCAAATAGAGCAGGCTTTGGTTAGGCTTTGATTTTAGAAATGTTAGATGAAGGCTGTGTAACTCTTTTCTTCACTGAAGGACGGCTGACTCTAAGGTTCTGGTTGCCTTCTCAGGGCTCTGCTGCATGTGAGACCTGACAGTGGTAGCTGGTGCTGAAAGCCTGCCAGCAACAATGTTCAGTCAGCAGTTAAAACTTACTATTGGCTGACACTTTTTTGCAACAGTTGTGTCTTGTTTTGTGTGTTGTGTAACTTGAGTTGTAATTTAGTTGTGTGTTTCATGTAGTTTCCTAATTTTTTGCCGAGTTCAAGTTTTCTGGCATAGGAGACTGCCATGTTTTTATAAAAGAACTCAGTGAGTTTAATTATTAGTTAAAATTGACAGGTTATATACAGTGTTGAAAACCTGAAGCTTGGCAAGGGGCTTATACTCTTTAGCAAGGTGCAAAAAGTAGATTATGATTTACTTAGAGCTGTGTTGGTACTTACTGTTTGCTCACAACAGAGACACGAAACACAGTCAGGATCTGTTTTTGCACCACAAACACAGCTAAAAATCGCAGTCTAACCCAAAAGCATATGAAACAAATGATGTGGAGTTAAGAATGAAAGGCAATTATGGAATAACACAGTATTGATAAAAAGAAGTGTAGTTAGGTGTTTCCAAGTTCCTCAAAGCATCTTTTATACATTGTTATTAACACAATATAACTGATGTAACTCCGACTAATGCAATGATTTGTTTGTCATTATTGGCATAGTAATTGTGATAGTTACTTGCAGGAGGAACATCAGATCAAATTATGGCCACCTTGGTATGATGGTAGAGATCTAGAAGGTCTTTAATACTGATGATTAAATCTCCACCATTGCAAGTAAAACTAACATCTCAGTGGAGATAGGTAGGCCCTCTCTACCCTCTAGAAGGGGTAGGTAGAAGGCGATGAAAGCTTAGAGCTTTCTGTTGCATTCCCATTATTTTCACCCTGGTGCATGGGGAAGTATGTGTTGAGCCAAATGTAGATATGGTAGTTTATCCCTTTCTTAGAGCAGCAGGGAGATAGGGGACAGAAATGGCAATGTGCAGACTGATAATGACACTCCAGTTGCCAGGCTTTTATTCTTAGTCTGCACAGATAATTCAGCTACCCTTAATGAACTGACCTTCTTATGTAACACTGTGATCCCTTTGTGATGTAGGTGAGGAAGCTATGGAGAAATTCAAGAGATTGAAAAATGAAGGGAATGATTTTGTAAAAATGGGGGAATATGACGAAGCTATAAATAAATACAGTGAATGCATGAAGTTAAATGCTGAGGAATGTACGGTCTACACTAACAGGTAAAGATCCAAAATCTAACTTTGCTTTGTGGGATGTATTTTCTCACTGCAGATAGAGATTTTACATCCCGTCAGTAACCTTAGTGAAAAAGGAATTGTTTCCCCACTTGATAAGTATTTCTAATAACAAAGCTGATTTTTTTGTTAAACCACATTATTTTCCAAGGGGAGGAAGTATTCATGTCAGTGATATATATCTTAAAATCCTTTATCTAAATAGAATAAGCAATAGTAAAAGTTACAATTAGCATAGCATAGTGCAGCATTTTTTGAGAATACTGGCATGATTTGAATTAAAAACTTAACATGCAGTAGTAGTACCTCAAATATGAAGAGTAATAATTCAGAGAAAATGTACATTCTGAGAAAATAAAAGTAGGAACACAGTCATACATCAGTATTATTTTAAGGGTTGACCTAATTCTGTAGTATAATTCTTTATGCTGTAATCTTATCAGCTTTCACAAACTAAGAAGGATTTGATTAGATCAGTAGTTGAATAGGAGACTTCCAAGTAATAATTAGGTGCAGAAAGCAGTATTGTTTATTTAGTCTAGAGCACTTTTTTACCCAGAATGGCTGTAAAATAATCTGTATTACCACTATACTATAATTTTATTATTATTTATTATATTTTATTTATCATTTTACATTAACCGCTATACTGTCATATTATCCTAACATAGCCTCTGCTTTTAAAATACTTGCATATCTGCCTAACTTTGAGCATTAGTCATACTTGAATTTTGGCTTTTATTGCAGGAATTGCCCTCTCTAAATCCGTCCAGTGATGTTCTTAATACTTAATGATTTCGATGTACTTTAAAAAAGTACCACATTGAGACTGAATTGTGTGAAGTATTGTAATTAACATTTACGAGTCAGATACTGTTAGCACTACAACACTGTAGAACTTACTTATATTGCAGTGTATTCTGTTTTTCTGTGTTAGAGCTCTCTGTTACTTGAAACTGTATAAATATGAAGAGGCTAAGCAGGATTGTGATCATGTTCTTCAGATAGAAGATTCTAATATTAAAGCTTTTTATAGAAGAGCACTAGCGTACAAAGGATTACAGGTGAGGAAAAAGAACGTGGCAGGTATCCTTAAGCACCTCTAAACTTGCTTATCCTCTTCAAAGGCAATGAGGTAGTTGCAGTTGATGGGTGAAAGCAAACGAAGTACACAGTGTGATGATCTATTACTTTGTAGAGCACTTAACATAGATAAAACATTATATAAATATTTTTTCAACATAAAAACCTGCATGTTGACATGTAATGATTTGAGAAAACACAAGAATATTGGAATAATGAGATTTGACTGGAGATGGTTTAAACAAGTTTCAAATCTCTTCTAATAACCTAATATCCTGAGTATCCCAGTCTTTTCTATCTGTCAAGGTGTTTACTATAACTTTGCTGATGACAAATGGATTCTCTCCAAGTCTGTCTTTATCTGTCCAAACTAAAATCTCAGGCTGTCTTTGGGCATCTGTTCATGTTTAAGTGCCTGTCATATTAAACGAGGGTTTTAATTATCTTTGTTTTCTCTCTCTTCTTTCCCCAAAGACATTATGAACCTTTGTCAGTAATATACTTTGTGGAAGTGTTGGTATTCAGCCTTTTCCTTTCCATCTGCACAATGATGTTGGTGTCTGTACAGTGCTTATCTTAACACACAATTCTTAGAGTATTCTTTTACCTGAGCATCATAAATGCAGACTTAGATTGCTCATATCCATCCTGAATGTGGCTGCAACTCTTACGTTCTATCACTTGAACTACACTGCTCCTTTTGTCCATCCCTCTGTTGGTTCCCCTTCTTTGGTGATGTTAAATTAGCCCCTACACTTCATAATTCTTTCACGGCAATCCTTGCTCTGCTTGTCAGCTCTTACCTGGTATTAAATTATCAGCTTCTCACTTCTGTTGGCTCTCGATGGCAGCTCTTGTCATCTGCTTTGTATTAAATGTTACAAGTGTCCTTAAACAAGCATCTTAAGTGCTTTCTTCTGTGTTGCTCTTTGTTACTGGAGGTCTGCCAGATTTCATCATTGTCCTTCAAATGAATGGACTTACCTCAAATTTCTATTATGTTTGATGCCTTAACAAAGAATTACCCTATTGTTTCTCAGCTTTCAAATCACCTGCGGACAACCTGTTTGTGCTTAGCACCAGCCTATTCCCATCCCATGTTGTCATTCCAAATGCAAGTCATAGGAACCAGAGGATCTTTTGTCCTCCATTACAGTAGCAATAAAATTCCGAAAGTTTGATTAATTTTCAAAAAAGGTGAAAAGCCTTAATTTTGTGTAATATTTTTTCTGTAACTGTGCCAAGGTACCTGGAATTAATCACCTCTAACTTTGTTGTTGAACTTGGTAAAAATCAGTGTAAATACGAGTATGTAGTGATTCTACCAGTCCACAAAAAAGGAATTACACACTTATGAAGAATGTCAAGAATTGGGGAAATAACTTCTGCTTTTTTGAGTATTCTAGAAAAAACTGCCTTTTTTGTATTATTGAAGACAACCTGAAACACAGCGTTCATGGATTCCTTCAGAACAGTCTGAGCTGTGGACTCCCAAAATGTTTTGTTGTGGTTGGATTAAATGCTTCATTATTGCTAATTCTAGGGATGTGAGTGATTTGTAAAACCAGAGAAAGCAACAAAAGTGATCTGAAGTTGACAAATGACTCTCTAATGAAGAATTTTAAGAGCTAAAAACGTAGTTTGGCAAAGACCTAACTAAGCTGGGAAGTGTTATTTTTATATAAATATCCAGATATTTAACCACAAAAGCTGCAGTGGAATTTAATGTAGTAAATGAGGGTTTTTTAAATAGATTTACCAAGATGTAATTAAGGGAAGATCAGGAAAGTATCATGCTTGTGTGATGAATTAGGCCCGTGACATAGGACACAGGACCCCAAATCTCATCTCCTACAGGTGGTAGTCCAGTCTGGGTACTGCCATCTTGTATGATTTTTGCTGAGGAGTCTGGGAGGCTGCAATTTTAAATCCAGGAGGGTTGGGTGTTCGCTGACCCTTGTTACTGTTTTCTTTTCTCTGTAGGTGTGAATCTTTGCATGTGTAATTCAGATGGTTTAGCTTAATTAGTAGGGGATTTCTTATCTGCAACCTGCATTCATTTGCTAAGGCTGCGTAATCCTCATTCTCACTCTTCCTTCACAATCTAAGAGGCTTCAGTTCACCTGCAGGCTTAGTGCAGCGTCTCTGGACCTTGAATACTGGTCAGCAGTACTGAACAAAATACTCTGTGTGTGAAGGAATGACAGTGACTGGTACCAGGAGTGCTTTTCTTACGGTTGAGATGCTGAGGAAATACCTCAGCTGGTACATGAGGATTTTTTTTCCATGACAATACAAACGACTTAACAGTAACCTTATGATACTAGTTGGGAACAAAAAAATACTAGGTCCCTCACACAAGAAATTATGTTGGTCTTTTACTGTCTGCATGGTCTTTTACTGTTTACTGCTACATTTCATCTATGTTGTTGATACTCCGGCCCTTGGGGTGTCTTGATATTTTTCTGTGATATTCCAGTCTTCCTCAGAACTGATGCTATTAACTTTGTCTCTCCAGAAAATTTAGTCTAAGAAAGTACTAATTTCTGATGTAAAAATTGGAAATAAAAGCATTGAACAAATTACAAGACTGATTATTGAGGAACTGTGTCCTAATGCCACTCTGTCCCTGTGTTTGTCCTAATCCTGTTTATCCCAGAGTTCATAATATAATCCCAATCTTTTCAAATTTTACCAAAAATTTCACTGTAAGAGATGGTCTATTGGATTGAAGCCCAGGAAGATTAGGTATATTTTTAACCAAAGCTCAATTTAATGCTCTTTTATTGGCAAAGCAAGTATGCAAAGTTGCTGGACTCACATTAGTCTTGAAGCAGTGTTACAGTGTAAGCAATTATGCTTAAAAGCAGCAGTCTTCAATAATTTGTTCTTTGATACAGGGAATATATTTCTGAAAATAAATTATTTCATATTACATATTTAATTGGGAGTATTTAGTCACAAAATATTAACTCAAACTCAGTTTCCTTTTTTCTCCTCTAGAGAAATTACAGTGTCTGTATTTAGATTTTTTTTCATCTACTTTCTGTCCAGATCCTAGGATTTTTACTTTTCTTATTTGTAAAGGACAGTATGGTAGTTCAAACTTACTTTTCTAGTGATGATTTTCCCTTCTACTTACAGAATTATCAAGCCAGTGTTGATGATTTCAACAAGGTACTTCTAATAGATCCAAATGTTCTTGAAGCACAAAAGGAACTAGAGGAGGTAACCCAACTGCTTCACCTTGACAGCAGTGCTGGAGCTGGCAGTCCACAAAAGCAAAGGAAGAAAGTAACCATACAAGAGGTAAGAACACCTGTTCATTTCTTAAAAGCAAACAGTACAGAAGCCACACATTCAAAGAGATAATATTAAAACTTTTGTTTTGCCCATCTTAGCTCTAGATTTTTTTGAGGGTGGGGTTGTATTTTTTGTGTTATTTTGAGGTCATCTTGGAGGATGTTTACATATGATGTTTTCAAGGTTCATTCCATTCTATAATAAAGCTTAGACTGCTCTGAAGTATATGGAAAAATGGAAGAAGTCCTTTTAGATGGCACTAAACTTGAGGATATGCTCCTTGTAAACAAAAACCGCATGGACTGAAGTGTTTTACAGAATGCAGCTGTCACGTAGCAGTTTTGCTTGTAAAGTCTGTGCTTCTCAGGCAGCCTCTGGGGCTGTGCTGGCCAAGGTCCATGGTCCATAGACGTGCTAGCTGCTCCTGTGCTGGTCCTACAGTTATGGGTCTAAAAAATGAAATCCTACCTTGAAGAGCAAAACATCTGTAGGATCTTATCAAAGAAACACACAATATAATGTTATGTAGAGGATTAAAATGTCAGCCTCGCACAGTTCGGGGTATAATTAGCTGATGAAAGGATTTTCTCAGTCATCTGATGTTTTTGGATTGTAGCTTTGCTGGTCCTTTAAGAATTTATTTTCCCCCCCTTTAATTTAAAAATGTATAGTTAAAATACATAGTGACCAGTCTGTACAATGATAGTGTAATTTGATAATGTAATTTCAGAATAGTGGTATAATGGAAATGCAGTTATTTATACAGAAAAAGCTTGTTTTCTTGAAATACTTCACATTGTCACGAGTTCATGGAATTTTATATAATTGGCATAATCTGGGTATAGTGTTAGTTAAGCTCTGAGTTGTGACAAACAAAGGGACCTGGAAAGTGTTTAGAGGAGGTTTGGTAAGTGACCGCATTGCTCAAAGAACCAGCCGACTACATTACTGGCACTGGTAATTTTTCCAGGGGTGGGGCAGGAAGCATTTATGTTTGTGGTCATAATTACAGCTCCCCCTACAGAGAGCCTACGCTGTCTTACCTGCTGTGGTACACAGTAGTTCCATGAAAAGAGACTGCAGAGAAAAGTAAGGAAAATTAGAAAATTGATCTATCATCATTGTGCCATTTTAATCAAGCTATAATTATATAAAAGACAGTCAGGATTTCTCCCTTTATTCTAAGGATTGTTGAAAAATAGAAGAAAATGTCTGTAAGTCCAATGCAGTATTTTCAAAAAATGACTAATCCCCTGTACTACACAATACAGTATCTTCAGACTTCTCAAAATACTTGGCATCCTTTTGAGAGACCTGTTCAATGAGTTTTAGTGAGGTTATACTAATTGCACAACTCTTGATGGCTTGAAATAGATTTTAGCAAATGTGGTTGAACCCACAGTTAATATTCTAGCAACTGATTTATGAAACTTGATACAGGCTGCAATTTCAGAAGTGAAGTGGATATTCAGGCAGTTAACCATGCTGAGCTTTCTCCTTCCACAGTGAGACTTCAAACATCAACCTGATAGAGCTGCCATGTACCTGTACTGTCCAGGAGGCACAGCAGAGAAGTGAAACATGGGTGTCTGGTGCCTTGACTCCAGTTCTCCTGGAGTCTCCACATTTAGTATATGTATACATTCTTCCTTAGCTTTCTCCCAGTGGTCTTCGGGCGTCTTTCTGCAGTGGAGTGGCAAGTGGTGAAAAGATGTGTAAAACACACACTTTTGACTATGAAACTTTAAAGATGAATTAGAGAGGTGCTGTTCTGGGGGTCAGTAGGACACAGAAGAACAATGGTGCCTTTCTTTTATGAAGAGTAGAATGCCAGCTTTAACCTAGTGACGTGATGGATATATGCTGCTCATGAAGATTCAGGTTATCTATGTGACCACATTAAAATGATTTGTTGCCATTTTCTTTGTGAAGGTGACTGGACATGATGAACAGGAAGAGAGACAGTTTGCTACATCAGATGATGTTGTGACTGATCACGTTACTTCCAAAGAAGCAGTTCAAAAGAATGTGCCACTGAAGTCCTCTGAGAAACTGCGCATTTGTGAACCATCTAATGCCTATGACTTTGGTCAGATTATAAATGCAGTGAATGCCAATAAGGATAGAGCTGCTTGTGCAGATCTTTTAACAATTACTGATCCGAAAAAATTGCCAGTGCTGCTGAGTAACAAACTTGAAGGAGAAATCCTTCTGATATTTATCCAGTCATTGGAACATTATGTAGCTGGAAAAGATCCTGGCCTTGTATATCAGCACCTTTTCTACTTGAGCAAAGCAGAAAGATTTAAGGTGAGAACCTAGATTGAATGTCTACTTAAATTGCACAGAAACTTAAAGGAAATTTTCAGAGCTTAAAAGGAAATTAAACACTGGTTTTGTATCTCTGTCAGATACTATGATTTTCAGTCATCCTCTGCTATTCATAATTACAAAATATATAAAACAATTATAAAATAATTGTTGTGGGTTTTTTTTCTTCAGGTGGTGTTGGCCCTTCTTAGCAAAAATGAAAAAGAAGAAGTGCAGCAACTGTTTGACTTACTTTCAGAAAACCAGAGTGATCAGTACTCATTGGAAGATCTTGAGAGCCTTAAAAAGGTTTATGAACTTTAAGAAGTTAAAGTTTATTGTCTGCATGTGGATAGTTCATGTGTAAAAGATGGATCTATGATCTGCAGACTTGAATGAGTTCAAGTGGGTCTTTACCTGGAGTGCTGAAATTTTATTTTGTTTTGACAGCGTATGCACATTTAAAACTTGCTGCTCTTTTTTTCTTGTAGTTGTATACATCTCTAGAACTTAATGCATGCCTGTGTTCAGTAACAGAGTTCATTTTATTTGGCATACTGATTTTATTTAGACTGTATTAATTATATATAGAAAAATATGTTTTACATTATATATATAAATAATGTGAATTATCTTGATGGTGCAATAGATACATATACTTTTAGTCATCACTTGTTATATCATTTGGTGAGTTCTAAGTTCTTGAGATAAAGAAGTGAGATAAATGGGTCAGTTAGCAGTAGTTTTGCTAAAATAAGTTTACAAAAAGTATTAACACTTTTCAGATAAACTACTACAGGCCACCTGTTTCTTTGGTATCCCTGGTCTATACAAAACATTTAAATATTTTGGCACAATACAACTTAGTAGCAAAGGTAAATGAATAATATATTAGCTTGTCATGGAACTCTTTGAAACAAAATTGTTAAACATTGGGCATGTTTTAACAAATGAATAATTTTTAGTGCACAGAGAATTACTTTTTTTTCTGTGTGTGCTGAAGGACTGCTGGTTTGCCTGGCTTTTTTTTTTTTTTTTTTTTGCAGTGACAGTGGTAAACAGAAGAAAATGTGGCTGCACTTCACAATAGAAATATTTATCTCTGAGTTTTGTAATTGGATTATTTAAAACATCAGCTGTTTCTGTTTACAGGCATATTTATAAAACTAAAATTAAAATAATTTTGTGGATCAGTATGATTTTTTTTTTATTTCAGGCAGTACTTATGTTTTATATTTGATTCTGACAATGCTTCAAAGATGAAGCTTTTAAATTTTTCAAATACCCAATGCCTTCTTTGTGTTATACGTTTATAACACATGTTATTTATATCAGACTCACAAGCACTGCAGAAATATCATTAAGAATGTTGTTCTAATGAAATTTTTTCTCAGGTGTATATTGATAAAGTTCTTTTCTTGAAAAGGACAATTATCGATTCTCTTTTCTGGTTCAATACTCTTTAGGCTTACAGTTTTGAAGTGGATTATGAGTTTTGTCTTGGAGTGCAAAGAACAAAGCTTTTAGTTTCTGAAGCACCATCAGAACAACCAATGGTTTTTGGTTTTAAATGTCCTCTTTTTATGAGATTCTTGTAGTCAAGACAAATCTGTTGCTCGTCTTATCCAGTTAAGCAACAACGTGCCAGTTTCATTCTTCAGTCCTGGTGTCAAAGTGTTCACATTCACGCATTTCAGTGTTACTGATTTCAGTCTTGCAGTTTTGTTCCACTATAGTTTAGTATGTTCAGAGAAGATTCATTGTATGTGTCCAACTGTAGTTCAGAAAAGAGAGCATAAAAATTAGGTGCGTAGTTTTAAAATAGTCTTAATTGCTTGGTAACTGTAGCTGAGTAAGAGCCCAATGTCAAAAGCTCTTGATGAAGTCAAGTCTTTCTCTGTGCCACTCAACCCCCCCAAGTACTAAATGCTCCTTAGAGACAAACTTCAGCAGTCACAGCTGTTTCTTAGAAGGTATCTCATTTGTAAAGGGTTTTTTGACACTGAGGACAAAAATAAAAATGTCTGCAGCAGAAAATCATAATTTAATTTAGTAAATTTAGGAGACAACCTGACATTATTTAAGAGATAACGGCTTAAAAAAAGATTTTGAAATGGAAGGTTCTTGACAAATCATTTGTCCGTGAAGAAAGAGACAAATAGGTGCTCACAGACAGACATACAGGATCATAGTTAATTTTAGGACAGTTTTAATCAATCCCTCGTGATTAAACTAGAAACCTAAAAGTTGTCCACAGAAAAGCAGTCCAGTAGTCCAGAAAGATACCTTTTCTTTTAATACCTTTCACCTTGAGTGTCAGCTGAAACAGAGTGAATTCAGTTTGAGGTAAAAATGACTGAGATTGCAGATCAAGAACCTCAAACTACTCCTTGCTAAGAAGTTCTAAACTGAGAGCTGCAGCAATGATTGCAAGTGAACTCATTACCCAGCTGCTGGCAGGGAGCTGTCACCAGCTGCAGGCAGCACCAGATTAAATAACAAACACCCCCTGATTTGACAAATCAGGGCTTGGCTGTGAAGTCACCCATCTTCTGAAGCAAAGAGCTGATGTCTCAACAGAGACTGTCTTCAACAGACTCATAGGAGGGCAGGATTTGCTGGAAAGTTTATACTGAGCCCTGAGGAAATACCCGGCAATAAACAGGTTTCTCCTTTCTGTGTGTCTGATCTTGTCAGGTTAAGGCAGACCAGATTTGGCTCACTGAGTATATAGACAACCCCCCAAACTACCCCAAATGCTGTTCAGTAGGTAGCCCCTCTAGTCTGGCTTGACACTGGTCTCAGTATTTTCAGTATGTTCCCAGCCCTGGTCCCATACCAGGAGCTGCTTTTTAAAGTTTATTTAACTCATTCCAGTCTGTGATCCCAAAAGGGGATGACACTTCCTTGATGACTTGCATTCCTGAAACTGCTGCCAGGCTGGGCTTGCGATCTCAGCAGATCCTTGGCATCAGCCTCACTCTGGGAGATGTCCCAATGTCCTCCAGCACCTTGCTGGGTGCCTCACTCCCCACTGAATTGCTGAGGCAGAAGCCAGTGATTGCCATTGAAGCCATTAGAAGCACTAATTGATGCAGGAATTGTGAACACCCTGCTCTATGGATAGCAGACCCCTGGAATTTCAGGCACTAATCCTTTACTACATCTCTTCTTTAAACATCAGGTCGAGCTGCATTACCTGCTAGTCTTTTCTGTCTGATGTTCCCTCATACCTGTCTCAACTAGGAACTTTTGGCCTCAGCTTCCTAAGTTCAAGAATTATATGTTGAAGTACAAGGGAACAAAGGGATTTGCAGTGCCTACAGTCATTTTGGTGATGGTCCTCATTCAGATTTCATTGAGATTGACTGCATTTTCAGACAGCATTTAGGAGGGCCTGAGGGACAGGCAGAACAACTTTTAAAAACACAGAACTTAGACAAAAATAGAATAAAACATGTTAGGGACTGTACTGCTGATTTGACCTGAACACCTCAAGCCTTTTGTCTTTAGAAGAGAGCAAGAGAACATCAAATAGTTGACCTGGCTTCATGGCAGAGAGACCCAAATCGTAGCACAGTCTTACGTTCTCAAGCTTGTCACTTACCCCCTCAGCATTAACATCCATCTTTGTGAAAACAAACAACAAACCAACCAAACCCAACAGCCATACAAAAACAGGAGGAGACCACTGGTTATGCAGGTGACAGGGACAGGCAAGTGAAGTGTGGTCCCCAGCGTGGCCACACACACAGAGCACATGCCCTGTACAGCTGAGCTAACTGTGACCCACCTGCTCATGGATAGCTATCCCTGCCTGGGACCTCCCCACTGGAACGTAACACGTCAGTGGAGATGCAGCCTCCAGCTGTGGCAGTGCAGGGCACCAGTGTCAGTGCCACTTCCTTGCAGCCCCGTGCCATTTCTCAGTTAGTGCTTGCTAAATGCCACCCTTGTAAATAAATTCAGCAACATGAGAGTGGATTTTCTTGTAAGCGAGAGGGATTATAAAGGGATAAAGTGCCCATCACACAGAAAGGTGTGCTCAGAAATGTCTTGAGCAGGCAGCCAGCGAGGAAAGGGCAGCTCGAGCACCCTAAATGCCATCAGCACTGGTCTGGTGGCTAAACATAACAGCTCAAATTTAGGCCATTTGGAATTTTAATGTCCTTACTGTGGAGATGGTAAGTAATAGTAGTCCTTTTGTCAAAGCTGGCTCACCAGGACCTTGTGCAAGGAGAGATGTGTTGTGTCAGCTTTGCCCACCAAAATGCTTCCTGCTGGTACCTGATGTGCAGACAGGTGCCAAGGTTGTCACATGCCAATGCTACTCAGCTACCCGGCCTGGCACATGAATGAGGTGCAACAGCAGGCTCATGTTTGTTGTTGAGCTTCCGCCTGTCGTGAGGAGCCTGGATTTTCTGCCAGATGGATACCTGTTCCCTCTGCTGCCTGATCCAAGGCCAAACATTTCAAGGGAATGATAAGCAGTTTGATCACATTCTAGGGATCATCCCAGAGGCCAGCAAGGGGATGTTGTTACCCAGCTATGCTTGCAGGCACTTCACCTCCTTCACCTGCCCCACAGAACACATGTTAAACGAACAGCCTGGAGCTGGAGACAGGGCCAGGAATGCTACGGCAGGAACTTTGCACACAGGTCTATTTGCAGGTGTCACTTGGTCCACTCACTCTTGGACACTTCACTGTGCAGGACACAGCTAAGGAGCAGCAGGACAGGTTTGCTCAGTGGTACAGTCCCACTCCCTTTGGGCTTCCCATGTGCTGCTGCAGTGCCAACCCTGTGCTTGTCCCCATGCCGACGCAGTGCCCAGCCCTGCCCAGTGCCGGGCCAGCACAGCTCAGCCCTGGGTGGCCACTCTACACTTGCAACTTTCTGTGCTCCATGAGAGCTGGGGGGAACCTCAGGTTCTTTTTGCAGAAGTGAAGCTGAACAAGGTCACGTGGCAACCCCAGCACAGAGCCTTTGCTTGCCTTGAACACTGCATTTCCCTGCTCCAGGTGGGGATTGCCATGATGGGGACAGTGCAGAGTCGAGACCCACAGCACATCCCTGTCCACAGCGACCTTCAGCAGCAGCAGGGCCTCTATCACCCAGGAGGACAAGAAACCAAACTTCAGGATTAGAAAGTGACATGAAGGGAATAAACAAGCCAGATTTAGCATAGAGGGGCCCACAGCAGGCAAGGCCTGCAGCCCTGGAGACAGAGGGTAGGGAGCAGCACAGACATCCGAGGAGGGAGCACAGCTGGGCACGGTCACCAACAAGCATCTGTCCCTGTGCTTGTGGCTGCACTCCAAGGCCTCTGGGCAGCAGCCTCCCACCAACGCCAGAGAAGCTACCACAAAATCCTAAACTCCATCTGAAAAGCTGTTGCAATCTTTTTACAAAGAAACAAATAATAATATTATAATAATAATATATAATAATATGAACATACAATCTGTCTCCTCAGAAAAAAAAACTTTTTTTTTTGCACAGTGAGTTCCCTGACAGCTGAGTTGGGTCTCGACTCTTAAGATTTTGAACAACCTCAGAGACAACTCTTGCTGCCCCTCGTTCTCAACAGCACTTTAAAATATCTATGGTTCAATCTAGTTAAGTATATGAGACAGACTGCTATGCTACTCTGTTTTTGCAATAACTTTGAATTTGTCTGACAGTGACAAGGAGGAGATCTAGAGGCAGCTACTCCAAGCAGCTCTTTCAGCACAGCCCAAGGTGTTCCTTCACAGTAACAGAATGCACCACACAATCTAGTTCCTCTACCAAAAAACCCTTTATAAAAAGCAGCACAGCCCAAGGAAATGCTGCTGTGCACTGAATTCCAGCTCAAGTGAAAAAGGAACCTGTGTCTGGCCAGGACTTGTCACAGCACCTTTTCCAATTACATCTTCACAAGATGGTTTCATGCCCTCACAGATGCTATTCCACCTTCTCGAGTTTCTTTCAGCAGCATTCAAAACCTACATGAAAACTTTCCTTATAAAGATATTGCAGAGCCTTATGCATGACCTGGTAGATACTTGCCAAAATCTCCTCTTTAGAGGCCAAGAGACTGCCCACAAGTTACACTACACTGTGTCTATAATGCTGGCAATAAACTAGACCTACAAGAATGGCCTCTTTTCCTCCTCTCTAGGGAAAGTATTGCACAGCCACTGTTTTGCAGAAATAAAGAAGGGAAAATGGCAACCCATCGCGGAGCTGAGGAAGCCAAACAATTTTGCACTGTTTTGCAGAACTAAAGAAGGGGAGATGGCAACCCATAGTGGCATTGAGGAAGCCAAACAATTTTGGTAGCACAGGCAGCCTTCACACAGGCAAGCAGGACCATACAAGACTGTGCCCCTTCCTGGGGAAAATCTGGGAGCTCTTCATGTAACATCACATTCACCTGTCCACAGTCTATACCCTCAGTTTGTGTCTTATATCCTTAATATATAATCATGTGAACAGCAACAAACCATAAATCGAGACTAAAGGATTACAATCTTCAGAGCCATCTTCCAAGACCTGGGGTCCTGTTGGGCACAGAAGTTCAGTGGTTTGTGTATCAAACTCCCCCTGTGCCTCCCAGACAAGCTTCTTGGTTACCAGGTACCCCATGGCCACTTTTCTCTGTTTCTCCTACCCTGTGAGACTGAGGGTAACAAAGACATCGTCACTACTCTGGGATTGTGTTTCTCACCAAGATCTGACCTGGGGTTGTTTGCCACTCATGGGGAGAACGTTTTGCTCCCACAGCACCACCATATTATTAAATCTGAGAAGACCAGGTGGCCGTCACCTTTGAGGCTGGCAGGAGCAGCAGTCAAGGCGGTAACAGTGCTCTTCAGACCTTTGTAATTTCATAAAGGCATTCCAAATAAATCTCAGTGTTATTTCCAAAGTTTCTGCTCAAGATTGCCTCAATTTCACCTGAATTAGATGGAATATTAATGTTTTTTAAGTTCGCTAACTCTAGTATTTTTCAACCTTCTACTTGATTATCCTTATTAAGCATTATTACCCATGAGAGTGGTGGCATTATTAAGTAGGCAACTATTTAAAAATCAATTTGAATGACTTGAAGAGAGGTAAGTCAGTCAAAAATGTTTACATATCAGTAAAAAGTAATCAGCTCCTACATTCAAGTTTGTGAAACTGATTCAATGAAAGGAAGAATAAACAAGTCCAGATGCTTTACTACAAAAAAAGCATATGCAAACATCATGAGGAAAGCTTTTATGATGGCTTTTATCTATCTAAAATTGTAACTATCTCAAATATTCTCAGATATAGCAGACATTAAAATAAATTTCCTCAAGATCCACAATCTGACATGAATTAGTCAAATCGGCCAGGGAATCACGAAAAAAAATTCTGAAAAAGAACCCCTCTGTTGGGAAATCAGATATAAACTTGATCTTTCCTGTGGTTTATTTCAATGAAAGAAAAAGGTTCCTTTTTAATTCTTACACTGGTAGCTCTATAAATAAGAGAAGCATCTCCTGCATTAGTGTATTAATAGAAGAGTTCTTTTACTTTTTTATAGACTCAAGATAAAATTCAGTGCATTAAATTTATTGGTGCTTTATTTATTGCTGTTTAGACTGCCTTACACATGAAATATTACCTCTGAATAAAAGAAGTCACAAAATGAGCAGCGAAAC